TGCTGAACTTTACCTTCCACTTCACATAAGGAAAGGAAAGTGAAGTCCTTGTCATTGTGACATTGTGACACACACCACTGCACACAACGAAATTTGACCTCTGCATTTAACCCATCACCAAGGTGAACAGTGGGCAGCTTTGAGCGGTGCCATGCTCAGAGCACCTCAGTGGTAACTTAGCAGCTGGTGGCCTCGAAACCTTCCGGACCCAAGTCCGCTTCCTTAACCACTAAGCCACCACTGCATAAGTAACTGGATTTGCACTTAATCCACCAACACATTGCAGTTTTGCCTGATGATCATATTTTGTAAATATGATGCCCCTTGAAAGAAAATTGTTGAAGGTTGATGGAAAGTGATGCATGGCCAGAAAACCTTTAAGTCAAATGAGTTTAATGTCTTGTATTTTTTGGTGCAAAAACAGCTGGCTGTACCTCCATTTACAAGAAAACCAGGACCGTAGCAAGTTCATAGTAATTTGACAGGACACAATATAACTTCAAAAATGTTCACGTTTTATTTAGTATTAGTTAAAAGGATTCAAAGACTTGTATTTCTTCTTCCTGAGTCGACTAGTATTGCAACATCATGGAACTTCCGCAAACACCACAACCATTCTTGGGTAAACGCCTCTTTGTCGACGTTTTATACGTATGCTCGATGATGATTGGTCAATGCGGATGACGCAGTTTTCGATATATATAGAACGGCCTTCCGACACCGTTCTTCCCCTCAACCCCAGCTGTTAGTGCTGTGTGAGTGCGCGTGTGCTCCTGAGCTTGCTCGGCACACATTCTATAAAAAATAAAAATACAAAAAAAAATTCAAAATCTTAAAAAAGCCAAAAAATCATTACTTTTTTCCTCTTTGCTTTCGTAACAAGTCGGAGAAGCTGGAGCATAGACCCCGCGGACTGGACGGTAACGTAGAAGGAAAACGGCAGTTAAACGTTAACGAGAATTTGAGTCGACGTGGTTCAGAAGAAAACGTTCATGTTTAGATTTCTGTTTTAATCCCAGTGCCTCAGAGTCGAGTTACTCGTTTTAACCACATAAAAAGTCGCCGTACTGTTAAAATACGTTCGAGTTGCGGGTTAACGCCGAATTTTAGCTCGTTTTGTTGGCGCGTGTCGTCGTCGTGCTACTCTGACGCAGCAAAGTATTTTTTTTATTTAATTTTAATCCATCCAGATAACAACTAGTGTCTTTAGTCGACCACCATGAATCCTAGCGCCCCAAGTTACCCCATGGCCTCTCTGTACGTCGGAGACCTGCACCCAGATGTGACCGAGGCCATGCTGTACGAGAAGTTCAGTCCTGCCGGAGCGATTCTATCCATCCGGGTGTGTAGAGACATGATCACCAGACGCTCCCTCGGATATGCCTACGTCAATTTCCAGCAACCAGCGGATGGTCAGTATGAAATTATTTTTATACTATTTATTATTCAGTGAGAATACCGTGTGTTCAAAGACTGTGTTCAAGAAGCGGGAGCTAGCTTCCACGCTACACGTGACTGCGGCCGACATATTGTGGGGAGGATTTCCTTTGCTGAACCTCCCAGCAGTGGCGTAGCAAAAATTACAGGGCCCAGCCCACCCCTGGACCAATTTGAGGCCTTATACCCTCATATGACATCATACTAGCTGTTGTAATTGTTAAAAAAACAAATACTACAAAAGTCCATTAATCAATTTGTAATTATTATTTTTCTGATAATTTTAGATGACCCATTTGAATGAGGTTGAAGTGTTGTAGGCCCCCTTTGTCCCTGACCTGCCATTAAACTCCTATGTTTGAAGCTGTTCTGGATTAATGATAGTGTTATAGTATTTTTTTTTAGTTGATTTAAAAATGAGCCTGTTTATTTAAATTCACTTCCTTTTTTAGGGTTGGGACAAAATATCTCGATACAGAAACTTTGACCCCCCCCACAGACTCTGTCTGCATGCATATGATAAGAGCCAAAGTCTGCATTTGAACTGTTGTTTCAGGTCGGGTTACTACTGTTGAGGTAAAGGATGAGTCAGACATGTAATTCCAGTTCTTTAATACAGTTGATTTACTGTCCTGGGGTATTTCGTATGTCATAAGGTGTATGAAGGCAAAACACTGAAAAAGTGGATGGACAGATCTTAAACTTATAGTGTTTAAGTGAATTTGGAGGTTCACGATTTAACCAAAAATAATTTATTCAATACAGAGCTACTGATTACAAAACACTGAAAACATTAATGCAACTTGTGGCATTGACACAGTGACCTGTTGACAAAGAGGAAACAAAGAAACCAGAGGCACTATTTGGTATCTTTTGCTGTTTCGCTCACATTGTTATATAGCCTTTGTTACCTTTCTGGTTTGACACCACAGTTGGTGACAATATGTTACCACAACTCTTGAGTCTTTATTTTGAGGGTTTATAGGTATTTTGTGTTTTAACATGTTCGTTTGTGTTGCTTCTTGTGTTGTTTCTAGTAACAATGAGCAACAGCCGGCACAGCACACGCATTGTTTACACACGTGAGCAGCTCATGGCACTGAATAAGCGGGTAGTGCTGCCCGGAGCCAAGTATGACATCCCAATAGAGTTGCTGAGATGATGTTGTGGTAGCAGGGCTGGATCAAAAGTGCAGGAAAAAAGAAAGAACAAACTGAGCATTTAAAGAAAACGTTGACCCGCTCGGTGCAAGTTTGGACCACACCGTGGCTGCACCCAACTGTGAGGTGGTGCAGGCAGGTGTAGACACAGAATGGAGTGGTAAGATAAAAAGAGGGAGTCATCGCTACAAACTCTGCAACCCAACACAGTTGTTTTCAACTCGGGGGATTTCAATGATCATTCTGATTGGGGCGGTGGTGGCTTGATGGTTAAACTGGGGTCTGCTATTTTCCAGACGATTATTGTGGTTTTAATAGCCTGAAGTGTAGAGACCCCTACTGGAGGCGGCTAGTAACTGGACAGAAGGGAATGTCAGGCAGGTGTGGTCTTTTAAAAGTGTAAAGTTCAAAATGAGATGCCATCAGTTATCAGGCACACTAGAGGGAGCAAACGTGCTGAACTATTTCATGTAGCTTGATCTATCTGTAGTCTTCTTCTCTGAACAACTCGAACTCCTCCCCCAACACTCCACTGTGTCTAATATCCCAACCATTTCCAATTCCACTCCTGGAAAGAAACCAAAACTGTCCTTCTGTAGGCAATCCCACTTTATAACCCACATGTGACGGACTGAACTGCAGGGTCAAGAGTGAGACTGTCTGCAAAAAGGGCATGGGCACGACTGTAGTCCTTGACCCTCACTGTCATTTTAATGTTTGCAGAAAGATGATCTTCTTCCCATCTGTAATCCAATTTCACTTTTTATAAAATTAAAGGAAAAACTAACCCTAAGTTCTCCCTCTTTACAGCCGAACGTGCTTTGGACACAATGAACTTCGATGTAATCAAGGGGCAACCAGTGAGAATCATGTGGTCGCAGCGTGATCCGTCCCTGAGGAAGAGTGGTGTTGGAAACATCTTCATCAAGAACCTGGACAAGTCCATCGACAACAAGGCCCTCTTCGACACATTCTCTGCTTTCGGCAACATCCTGTCATGCAAGGTACAAAACCCTGAGTCATCCGACCTTTGTTGTTTGGTTTTGTATGATTGCCTAAAGTATTTCTGTCAACTCTTAGTTTAGTATATTACTGCATGTGTGGGGTACATATTACAGCATGTTTTTCTTTCCCTTCTAAGGTGGTTTGTGATGAAAATGGCTCTAAAGGCTATGGCTTTGTGCATTTTGAGACTCACGAGGCAGCTGAACGAGCCATTGAGAAAATGAATGGCATGTTGCTGAATGACCGAAAAGTGTAAGTGAATGATCTTTGTTTCAGTGGTTAACAGTTCAACCAGGAATAAGCAAAGAGTCTAAGGACAGAAAGACCTTGAATGTCTATAATACAGGGCCTTTGATTCTGTATTTATAATAGAAGTTAATGTCTAATATGTTAAGATCCTGACTGATTTCATATGTTGTATATTTCTTAATGGCATAAAAAACATTTTTTGTTTTGTTGAGGTTGCAGTAGATTCAAGGATTGCTGTGCTGTGTGCATCATCCTTGTATGTGAAAGTGTTAGCTAATGTTAACTAACCGTAACTAACCTAGCAGTGTTGACGAGAGAGCCCTGATTTGATGTTGTATCTTCTTTTGCTTGGTTAACATTAAATGTTTCCCTCATCCAGATTTGTTGGCCGCTTTAAGTCTCGCAAGGAGCGTGAGGCTGAGCTCGGTGCCCGAGCCAGAGAGTTCACAAACGTCTACATAAAAAACTTTGGTGAAGATATGGATGATGAGAAGCTGAGAGAGGTCTTTAGCAAATATGGTAAGTGATTGATGTTGTTTTTCAGTTTGTTTGTTTTTTATTTGGTTATATTTTTATTTGGTTCATCTTGATCATTTTCACTGAAGCCATCTGTGTTTACCAGGATCTGCCATGAGTATCCGTGTCATGATGGACGACAACGGAAAATCCCGAGGTTTTGGGTTTGTTGGTTTCGAGAGGCACGAGGACGCACAGAAGGTAAGGACAAAAATCTAGTTTTAGGCTTTTCCATTGAACGGCTCCTAAAAATCCAGTGAAAAGTTGACCTGTGCTCTACTTGCTTTAACTGTAGGCGGTGGATGAGATGAACGGGAAGGAACTGAACGGCAAACTGATCTATGTCGGTCGAGCACAGAAGAAAATTGAGCGACAGACAGAACTGAAACGCAGGTTCGAGCAAATGAAACAGGATCGCATGACCCGCTACCAGGTGACGTTGGTGTTCTGTTCTGACTTGACAAAACTGAAACAAAATATTGATCCACAAAACTGGTTTAAAAGCTAGTGTGCTTTTGACTTGTCTTCATGCTGCAGCTGTGTCAAATTCAGTGCTCTCTGTTTGGTGGGTTGCACTGGCCAAAATGGCTGCAACAGTGACTGTAGTTCATGGGCCTCACTTCTCTGCACTGTAGACCGTGGGGATAAATCTGTTCTACAGACAAAAACTCTCATTCAAACGTATGAAGGAATGTTGTTGCGTAAGATGGAAGTACGTTACTTTATTAACGCTGACCTGCTTTCATTGTTAGGGAGTCAACCTGTATGTGAAAAACCTTGATGACGGGATCGACGACGAGCGACTGCGGAAGGAATTTGCACCGTTTGGTACCATAACCAGTGCCAAGGTGATGACGGAGGGTGGACGCAGCAGGGGCTTTGGTTTTGTCTGCTTCTCCTCACCAGAGGAGGCCACCAAAGCAGTGACTGAGATGAACGGACGCATCGTGGCCACCAAGCCCCTGTACGTGGCCCTGGCCCAGAGGAAGGAGGAGCGACAGGCCCATCTGACCAACCAGTACATGCAGCGCATGGCCACCGTACGTGCAGTCCCAAACCCAGTCATAAACCCCTACCAGCCAGCCCCGCCCTCTGGATACTTCATGGCAGCCATACCTCAGGCCCAGAATCGTGCTGCTTACTACCCAGCAACGGGACAGATGGCTCCACTGCGGCCCAGTCCACGATGGGCCACTCAAGGAGTCCGGCACCAACGTGAGTGTTTCTTTACTTGTTCCCTGAGTTTTGACAATTCAAAAGTTTGTTACCAAAACAAATGGTCCAGAAATGATCAGAGATTTAGGTTCCTACTTCTACCAGATGCTAATTTATTTTTGTCTTCACAGAATTCCAGAACATGCCGGCAACTATGCGTCCCTCAGCGCCCAGACCCCAGGGCCTCAACACCATGAGACCTGCGTCTGTGCCTCGCATGATGTCAACCCAACGCATGGGTTAGTTGCCTGTACTCTGTCACTGAGTCTATCTCAGGTGTGGTCACACTCTGTGAATCACTGATGTTCATCTGTACATCCTTCTGTGGTCTTGTCCCTCCAGCCACTCAGTCCATGGGGGCCAGAACCACCAGTGCTCCCACCGCCATGTCCAACCAAGTGCGTGGAGTCCCTCAGTACAAGTACGCTCCCGGGGTCCGCAATCCTCAGCAGCACATGAGCAACCAGCCACCGGTGAACATGCAGCAGGTAGGATTTCAGCCAAATTTACGTGGCAGATTTACTCACCTTTACGTCTCCGTCTGACCCTCGATCTCTTCTGCCTCAGCCTGCTGTTCATGTTCAAGGTCAGGAGCCTCTGACTGCTTCCATGCTGGCTGCTGCTCCTCCACAGGAGCAGAAGCAGATGCTGGGTAAGATCCAGAAACTACCAGAAATCTTAAGCTGTAGTCCACTGTTTTAACACTAGTGATAATTATTGAAAAGTTAAAAAGAAAAAAAAGTTTCAACAGACAAACATTATCAAGATTTTTTTTTTTTTAAAAGCCTTTCCCCATTTTTTTTCTTTTATAATTTTTTTCCCCCACTATTTTAATAAAGAAACATTTTTATTTTGGGAGGTCACTCCTGTGGTTGGTCTGTATAGTCGGAGCCAACCTTGAAGATAATGATAATTATAACTGGTAAAGAAACCCCGCATTAATCTGATGATGGTATAATCTATGTCTAATGTAGTGTATGCCCCCCCTCCCTGCAGGTGAGCGCCTGTTCCCACTGATCCAGAACATGCATCCCAGTCTGGCAGGGAAAATCACTGGAATGCTACTGGAGATTGACAACTCAGAGCTGCTCCACATGCTGGAGTCTCCAGAGTCTCTGCGCTCCAAGGTTGGGAAAAAAAAACATCTGGTCATTTTCACAGCATTTTCTAAGACTGACGGATGAGATGGGTTTTTGTCCACCAATAACCTGAGTGTTCCTCCTAGGTCTAAAGCTGACTGGCACATCAGTGCTTTCATTTGCATCTTTAAATATGATAGCAATATTTTTTCCCAGATATCAGAGATTTAATTTGTTTCGATGAGTGGTGTTTCCCAAGGCTTATATAGTTCAACTTAAGTTACAATCTTGATTTTAAAAAATCAAGAGTTTAAAAAAAATTGTCTTAACGTTGAAATTTGGGAAAAGAATATTATTTGTGGCTTAAACAAATGTAAGTGAGACATAAGTTGTGCTCTGCTTTAAGCTTCATGATGTGAAGATTCTAACCTGAGTCAATGTTCTTAGGTGGATGAAGCTGTTGCTGTTCTCCAGGCCCACCAGGCCAAAGAAGCTGCCCAGAAGCCCGGGACAAACCCAGCTGTTGTCCCAAGTGTCTGAACCCAAGGTCAGCATTTGATTTGATCCAGTAGAATATGAGTGGTTGGCTTAATCTTTATTTTTATGTAATTATTATTTGATCTCAATCTGTGTGTGTGTTCACAGGAATGGACAACCTTGTGACGATTTTCAAAGGGGGAAAAAACGACCAAAAAAATAGAATTTTACAACAAAAAGACACAAAACAGAGTAAAAGACATTTAATTAATAAAAAAAAAATTGAAACAAGGAACCAGTCAGGCTGAACGGACCTGGCTTGCTAAATTAAAGAGAAAAAAAATAAACAAAAAAATAGAAAATGGAAAAAACTAAAAACTGCTTTATGGTGGATTTTAGAGGAGACTTGAGTTAAATGCATTCCTTTCTGCTATTTTATCCATTTTAAATGTTTGAATGCTGCGGCTGCTGAAGCCTCTTATTGTAATGACCTTTACTTTGATCTTTGCTTGCTTCAATAAAAAGGATAAAATATTACAATTGTGTGCTTGAAATGGTTTTGCAGTTAACATTAAAAGTGGGCAAAGTAAGGCTCTGGGGCCACATGTTTGTGGCTGTTATAAAGGCTCTGGGGCCACATGTTTGTGGCTCGTGGCTGTTATCTCATCCACTGTCAGAATTAAATATAGATGTTGTTTTGACTGATCAGTTGTTTGTTTTTTTTTGTCCAATTGGCTGTTATTTACATTTTTTTTTTTGAAGACTTGGAAAGATGTCGCAGCAGTGGCTGAATTGTGCTTTGTGCGTTTTTTGCTATAGTAATGCCATTATTATGCTACATGAGTTGGAGATACTACATTTCTGCATAATATTGAGGGTTTCTAAAACTATAAGAAGTTGTTTGGATTTATGTTTGTTCAGGTAGGATGCCACTGAAGGACTAGGTGAGTACACCACTGCTAAGTTACTAATTTGTACTTAGGGTTTGCATTTTTAACTGATATTACTTGAGGTAACATTTAGTTACCTTTTTACTTATTTTGTGCAAAAAAAAAAAAAAATCATGTCAGTGAATTGTGTTTCATGTTTTTATTTGTGCTTTTAGACAGAGAAGCTAAACATCAATGCTAACGGGCACAGAAACACCAGAGTCATGGCTTTAACTCAGTCCATTGCAGAGAAGACGGTGGTTTACTCTCCGTGTTCTTTTCCAAGTCATTATGGAAGGACGACGATTTAGTTGGCAATGGCGCGAGCCTGCTCTGTCAACCTCTGAAAGAAGTCTTCCATCTGGGTCTGGAGGCTTTCCATCATGGGCTGGAACTGGGCCTGAGCGTTAGCAGCCACAGTCTTCACCTGCTCCTGGATCTTAGCAGCCAGAGGCTCCAGCTGGGTTTTCTTCTCCTGCAAGAAGTTCCTGTTGATGGGCAAACGCAAAGAAAACACCAGGTTCACGCTAACATTTTTGAAGAGGTTTGAAAACCACATGAAATCTTATGACTTTTGTGTCATTTCGACTCTAGAATTAATTGGAATTCCAAACATTGTAGCAGACTGGAACCGTACTCACTCAGTCTGGGTTGCCAGTTCTGGGTTGCCAACAAGGGTTGCCATGTCCTGGGTCAGTTTAGTCCTGAAGTCCTCGAAGTACTTGACGATGTCAAGGTTGGCATCCTGTGCAAAGCTTCCTGTAAGTTTTACGGAGATAAGACAGTGTCAGTCCAGGGGTAAACTGTCTACTGATATTAATTAAAAAAAAAAAAATTAATTAAAATTAATTATTGGCGTTAAAGTCTGTGTGAGAGAGTCAAACCTTGTGCCAAGGCAAGCAGGACAACGGCGGCAATGAGGGTGAATTTCATGGCTGCTGACTGGAGGAGACCTTAAAAAAAACAGACCATGATATTATTTATACTAAAATTTAAAAAATTGTATTTGTTCTAGATAATTATACGATATTTTTTCGAAGAATTGGAATCGATCAAATGACAAGAACAAGATACGCTTCTAAGAATTGTGGTCAATGCTTCTGATCACCTGACTTCATTTAACTCCTGTCTGTTTATCAAACGCCTACACATGTGACCTTTTAACCTTTAACTGATTTCAGTCACCGAACAAATCCTGAATCAAAAACCAAAGAATTATAATTTCAGTATTTTATTCCTTGATGTTAACTTTTTTTTATTTATTCTTGCTAATTAAAACACACCTTGCACATAGTTTAGTTTTGTGGTTTTCACCAACAAAATAAAATAAGGTTAGTTAAAATAAATAATTAATAATGGAATAACTAATGTAATTAGTAGTAGTAGTAGTGATTAAATAATGTCACATTAATTTGCCTATGATATATCAACAGTGATATTAGTTTTAATAATAATAATCTGTATAATTTGTTTTATCCTAGATATGAGTTGCTGGTTAAACTCATAAAGACCCGTTGAGTGAAAGCGGACTTACCTGAACCACAGGAGAATCTGGATCTGAAGGTACCTTCCTGTGAGTCCCTCACACGTCTTATAGTCACTGCTGTGATGCAGAGCCATCGTAGTGTGAATATGATTGGTCCAGATAAAGAGGTGGAAGCCTATTGGCTGTCTTCCTTCCAGTGTGTCGGAGTGACAGTGCTGACCCTTGCTGCTCATGTTGCCACAAAGCAAAAATGAAGCAAAGTCCAACGGTGTCAGTGCTGACTGTCACAGCCAGTGAGTGTCTTATCATGTTGATTAAATAAAACACTTAATCATCACTAACAGTGATGTTGCAACAGGGATTTGGAGTATGTGGGATTCATCGAATAATCCATATTAACAGATTACATAATGGGGAACATCTCATGATGTTTTTGCTGGATTCATTTGGTTTTCTCATGGATGTTTACCATGGATGTAGAATTAGAGTACTTTAAATGTGTAAATACTGCCTCCGACTATTACATTTTCAACTGCGTTTTAATTTTTCTATATATATCTGTGTGTAGGTTTTCTCGAGGTACTATGGTTTGGTCTCAAACACACGACTAGCAAATTATCCTGATATTTCAGGTGAAAATATATTTACTTGAGATCAGAGAATTGCCAGCAGGTGGCAGTCATTTAACTGAAGGGGTTCCGAGGTAAATTGGAAGTTCTCCTGCCAACATCGTCAAAACACTGTAATAAAAGTGTTTATACAACTGACGACTTGTCCACAAGGTGTGGAAGTTAGCGGCGTAACTTAAACTACGAGGAGAATGACAGTAATAAGTTTTAAATATTTTAATTTCAACATTTAATTAGGCAGGACCACAAAAGCAACATTGTCAAAATGATGGTTCGCAGTTAAAAATTGGGACACAACTTTAAACATAAAATGAAACGATGGATAACGGAGGAATGCAACAATGTTTTAAATTCAGATCCTAAAGCAGAATGTCAGGATGTTGGCCTCATTATATCTTTAAGAAGAAATATGATTATAAATTACTACTCATCCTACAAATATGGGAAACATTTTAAATCTCCTAGGCTACATTGCTCTCTCCTAGCATGTATATCATGTAATACTGATACCATTTTATCTGAACTAGAGCAGTGTTGAGTATCTCATGAAAATTGTGCCATGACACAACCTGGACGTGGAAGGTCCAAAAGACGTGACAACTGTCTTCACAGCTGTGTTTAGGCCAACACACTCATGTTACACTTGTGTATGTGGATGTAAACCTTTCCCCTCTGATTAACATCCAACAAAAGGTTACTGTGTTACACGTCTATCTTTATGGTTGTCATTAATTGTCACCTTTACTCCTCATCCAGTCTCTAATAAACAACATAAAGTTGATAAAGATGTATTTAAATGTCAAACATAAGCAAATCCAGAGAATCAACTTCAGCTAAAAAGCTAACGAAGCAAACATATACTGTGGCTAAAAACATCGATCAGCTAACCAAACAAAAATAAAACTCAAACTCTAAAATTAGCTCCTAGATAATCCAAGAATATACAGTACAATAGCAAGGACTGTTAATTTAGACAATGAGGTAAAGAATTGGTTACTGAAAGTAACTGAAACGTAGCCACAAATGTAGAAGATGAAGTTAGAACAAAATACTGATGATTGGAAAACTCAAATAACCTCAAGTCAGCCAAGGAATTATTAACAGATAAGCAATAAACGCAGAATCCCAGATAAAAAGTAATCTGAGACGATAGCTAAATGTTCAAATATGCTAGTCTTAAAAACAAAAAGCTAGAAATTCCTTTTTTAGCTATTTCATTTTTTTCATTTAAACGAGGAAAACAGTAACACAGTTGATATACAGAGATATGATGTTGTTATGATGGAATGTTTCTCATAGTAGGAAATCCCCCAAACAACAGAGTCAAACGTTGACCGTGAAACACTGATTAGAACCAGATGAGGGAGTGCTTTAAAAACAGAGACTAGTCTTTGTGGCTGTCTGTGTGTCTGTGTCCAGAAACACTGATGCACTGGACGCAGCCGAGAAAATACTCTATTTTGTTAAAACTCAGCCTGTCACAGACACGATGGAATGGGAGGTATGTCTTGTGTGACAGAATTAGAGATGACAGTCAAGTGTGGGATCAGTGGAGAATGTCCTCTGCGTGTGTGTGTGTCAGCTACTGTGTTTAAAAGCAAGAGGACAGTCTAGAAAAGTGCCAAATATGTCGTCATTGGTTGGTGGTAAACGTCCCCTCAGACCACACATTTATCACTGCAAACATTTATTCAGTTCAGTTCAGTGCAGTGCTGGTTCTTTGACGTCAGCCATGTTCAAATTACGGCCTGCGGGCTAATTGTGGAACTTGGAGGAGCCACTGTGGCCCAGAACTTAATGATTTACATCAATCTGACCCATATGCAGGGAAGGACTTTTGCTGAGCATTTTGGCTGTTTATATTAAGCTGGCTAAACATGGCCTATTTCTGCACTTACTTTATTGTGACAAAACATCTCAAAATGATCTTTTAGCAAATCTGCTGTTTTAACTGATTTTAAATGTTTCTGTTTAAAATGTAATTTGTGATTTTCTTGGCTCACATTAATTCAAACCTGGTTTGTTTTATAGTGCCTGACTTTTAGCTGTTTCTGGACCAGTTGTAAGGGTATTTTTTTCGTATATTTATCTACCAAGTTTGTTTTGTAAAAGCTCAGTGTTCCATGTTGTCAGGGACGATGTAGTTTTGTGTTCCAGCTGTGGGAAAAGATGGACCTTGAGTCTTTACTCATCCTGACGTGACTTCTGTTGACGTTGGCTGTTATCTATCTCCGGTGTTATAAACTTGAACTATTTTGTTGCACTTAAAAACAACCGTGGGCAGGATTTCCACACTGGCGAAAAACCTCTTCTAATATACAGGCACCTGGGAAACCTAAGAAAAATAACCATTTTGCACAACAACAATATTTTCTTTAACATTTACACAATACAGTACAGTTACAATCAAACAAGTGAGACTTAAATAAATAATTGAATAAAAAAAACCCATCAAATTATCTTGGTTCAAAAGTCTGAGGTAATAAACATAAACCAGTGAAGCTGGAGGATCAACTGACATGAGAGTATGCCCTCCAGTGAGCAAAAGGTTCAATTACAACAACATGAGCATGATAATTAAGCCTTATTTGTTTGTTTTGGTATAAAATCATATAGGTTATATACGTTTATCAACACATTGTTTCTAGTTTACTCACAGACCTTACCCAAGGCTCCAGATTGTTTTTAAACCCCAGCTTTACATTTAAGTAGTCAAGAACCACACACAGACAAGGAGAACATCTGAACATTTCACCATAGACTATTTGATTTAAATTATTTTGTCAAATTAAAGAATTCCACATGAGAGGAAAGGCTTTTCAGAAAACTTCAAATCAAATGCTCCCCAGTTCTTCTTCCGAACTTCCATGGCATGATCCCAGACCACAGAAAGAATGAAAAATGACAAGAGGGCCAGGAGTCATAAAAAGTCCAAGAAAACACAAGGAGAGGAGGTGCCATTTCCTTACCCAAGTATTCAACAAGATGGTAGTCTACATCTTTTTTAAGAAAAGAAAAAGAAAAAAAACATTACAGTCAATATTGTTTTGTGAATTTTTCTCTTTTTTGTTGTTCTTTCTCTCGGGTAAAGTGAATTGTTCTTCCAAGTTGTAACCACATGCCTCAGGCTGCAGCTGTGAAGCCACACTGTAGTTGTTCTCCGTTGGTGCCAGTGGAGAACAGAGGAGACCAGAAGAGGCTCAAATTTCTGGGTTTGATATTTCACTGACTCCCCACTGCTGCCTTTATGCACAAAGCAAAAAGTGGGAAATGAAAAGCATAACAATGCGATACTCGTAACCTTCACGAATTATTCACGATAAAGTCAGCAGCAGTATGTTTTCCCCATTTAACCTAGTTATGTCTTAAAATATCCCTAAAGTTTGCGATATAAATATGAGACAAATAGGTGACTAAGTCTTGATTCAAGTCAAACAAGAAGCAAAAAGTTGAACAGAAATAGCTGATAGTCAAAAAAATATAAAACATTTACACAAGTTAACATAAATTGACAAAAACCGATTAGTGCCAATTGTAACATACACAACGGAGTTTGTGTATATTCCGTAGCAGAAAACCTCGAACTAAACATAGCAAGTTTTAATTGATAAATATTCTTAATTGTCAGTAATTATATTGAGGAATATGTTTCTGCGGGGCCTCAAAATGGCCGCATATGGGGAAAAGACAGGCTGTAAAACAATACTTACTGTGCCCTAAAAAAACAACCACAAATACTTTAAATTGAGGATAGAATCGTTGAAAAGTCTGTAATATGTTTTAATGTTCACACCAGCCAATACAATTCAAATATTAAATATTTCAGATAAATCAGAACAGCGGGATTATATCGATGCAATTTCATGATCTGCTTAGTGGTAGCCGAAAAATACGAATAGTTCGTGAACGCCTCATTTGAGTGACAGCGATTCAGTCTAATCCGGAGAAGGAGGTGAGGATGCAGAGGAACCGTGTGATGTGTTGGAGCTACGTCGGCTTTAACTTCATCCACTTCGGCAGTGATTGACTTAAACCCTGCTAAAACCTCTTACTTCAGCAGCTTGCAGTCATCGAGCCTCTGCCTCAAACCGTCACCTTAACAGCTTCACATTCGCCGCTTTCCGAAGACGTTACGTGAGGACAATGGAATCTAACCTTCTCCCGGACAGTATCCGCCCTCAGCGACTGCAGCCAGGTATCAGCTTCGGTTCTGGAACTACTGGAACCCTGCGCTCCTCTTCCCTGCGGCCCGGGGTGACAGTGCCTATCGCTCCGTTGCTGTCCTCCCCGGCTTCTTTATCCCTGTCGTCCGGGCCTCCTCCTCCGCCTCCGCCGCTGCAGCTCCACAGCCTGTACGGCGGTGTAATGGCTGGACTTGGAGCCGGGCTAGGACCGGGGGCCGCCGGCCACTGCAACCCGGGAAACCCGGCGGTGTTGAAGGAGGCAGTGGAGGCTGTGGTCCGGAGTTTCGCCAAACATACACAAGGCTACGGCAGAGGTAATTCGTCCAATTTATGAAAAAGAAAAGCTACAGACTAAAATAACAAAGACTGTATTTAAAACTGATTTTTGTTTTATATATAAACAGAAGAAAATGAAAGATGTTACAAACAGAAAACACGTAAAAACCCATTTTTTACCATGTAAAAGCATTATTTTCACAGTTCACAGTTTTCATATAAGGTATTTACACTACTACCGGTTTGACATTTTTACGAAAACAATTATGAGCTCAGACCAAAACACAATAAACATTAAACTAACTATTCACCTATAGCACAGGCGTTTACACTTTAAACACAATTATTTCAAAATAGTGACATTCTTCAGACTAAACTATGTTTTGGACTTAACTTTTACGACTTAAACTAAGGCAGTAATTATGTGTCATCCTATGTGCACTTGATTGTTGTCTGGATACAGTTCCTATGCAAAGAGCTATAAAAGGAATAGTTGGGAGCCAAGTGTCACAAAAGCAGAAGTTTAGTAAAAAATGTTGAAATTATTACAACAAAATAAGGACTGGGTGAACAAAAACAACATAAATCTTTCAGAAGCAAACAGTGAATAACTTTCAACAGAGAACAAAGTGGTAAAAATAATACCCTGAAGGCACAAATAAATCTTTCCAAACAGAATAAAATGAAATCAAAAAGCTTCATGTTTTCCCAAACATGAACACAATTATTTAAAAAATGGCAAACATGTCATCATCGTGTCAAAGATGCTAAAAAATGGCTAGTAGAAGAAGTTGAAGAGGAGTTAGCATCAAGGGTAGCTTAAAGTTAGCCCAGAGATAGTTAGACAATTTACGTAATTTTTGTAATTATTGAACCTAGTATAGTCAGTATTAGGATTAGCATGTGTGTACAAAAACTTGACCTGGGAGTATGTTGTGTATTTTGTCGTATCCCTGTTTCCCTCATATGGTATCATATTAATGGTTATATGACCTTAAATGCTTAAATCACAGTGTCTTCAGTCTTTCTTGTTTATTAATGAATGCACATTGGCAGGGCGCATAAAACTAAAACTAAACTCAGACCCCAACGCTGCATTGATGTCGACAGTAGGAGCTAATATAAGTGTTACTGTCTGGTGCTAATAGGATTTATTACCAAAAGATTGTCCCTGTGTGCTCAGACCAACAGCCTGTTTTTCTCTTTATCCCATTAAAGCCGCTCGACACTGTCAACACTGGCCCCAGATTTGAGATGGGAAGGATTTTAATCTTAAAGTTACTCCAGTTTTGTGGAGGGAGAGAGATCATTATTATCATCAAAAAACTAAAACATCTGTTACAGATTTCTTTTTTTAAAATGGCCCCTTCACTATGAAAGAGATTTAACAAGGATTTGTCTAACATATGAAAATCAAATAGACTACAGTTAAATGTGGAAATAATTTGGGGCAAATTCGTGTTCTACTGAACTATTTTGTGCTTGATGAAAAAGTGGGTTGTGACTGTAGGACTAAAGCATGTGTCCTGAGGCCTGATCATTTGAGAACCACTGTCATTAATCTTCCCTTGTTTCCTGACTCCTACCTCTGCTGAGGAAATGCTCAAAAAGTGATAAAATTAGGCCAGAATGCATCATCTTGTCACAACCAGGAACGCTCTCAGTACATGTGGCTCCAGCCCAAGCGCAGCAGAAACTTAAAAACAACTGCTACTGATCAGATTCCAGACTCTGCGTGAAACAAACAAGAGTCGTGTCTGTGTGTAAAGACTCCGGCGGGAGAAGCTGAGGAGGTACAGACGTGAGAAAGACCAGGGTAATGTTGGCTGCGCTCATAACACCTCCCCTCGAGCTGAGACTAAAAATAATTATTTATGTCTGTTGCAAATCTGCCTCCTTCTCTCTGTTGTTATTTCCTCTTGGAGGACGAAATGATAACTCTCCCCTGCGAGCACATTAAGTGTCAGTGCGAGGGCGTGTTCCTTTAAGCACAGAGCAGCTCTAGCCCAGAGGTGATGCAGTATTTCCTTTAGGCAGCCACATAAATATTTTCAGGAAAATCCCCTGGCATCCTTTAACTGACCCTCATCACTCCCTCCTCTACTCCCCCCTCTTACTTCCATCTTTGTGTTTCAGGGAGGATGTTGTAGAAAACGGGCAGGAACTAATGACACTCTGAGTGGAAACTGATCACAAAACACATTTAGCTTCTCGTCACACTAACGACTTCTTGTTGTAATGATAAGAAAAAAGGGTGGTTGATAGTAAATCAGTGTCTGACAGCTCATTTACATCTGCTCCCTGTAGTAAACGTGGTGGAAGCGTTGCAGGAGTTTTGGCAGATGAAGCTGAGCAGAGGGGCCGATCTGCGTAATGGAGCTCTGGTTGTTTATGAAATGGTGCCGTCCAACAGCCCGCCATATGTTTGCTACGTGAGTCTTCCAGGAGGCAGCTGCTTCGGAAGTTTCCAGGTACATTCTCAGCATCTGCACAGTCTTCGTTCTGTTTGGATTGACAACAACAACGGATTATTTCTCTCCGCTGCTGCACAATAATCTGTCCTCGGATGTGCCAAACAAATTCAGACGCATGTTTAAATTGTTGTTGAGTTCATGATATGCTAAAGCACAGCCGTCAAAGTCAGGCCCAGGGGCCCACAGTGTAATTATATTTAGCCTGTGAGAGGAAATCAAATGTGAACTAGATTTGTAGTTCTAACGATGTATGCGCTATGTTATAGCACATACATTTTTGTCCTGTGAAAAAATGAGATTTACGTTAAAAAGGAACTTTTTATTTCAAATTTAATTTCTCATGTGTTTATAATATTAAGCTTAATTAATACATTAAGTTTGTTTCCATATGAAAACATTTTATATTACATTTCTGGAGAGAAGGGAAAACATACACAATTGCCATCATTTTTTTTCAATAAATGTTAGCCCGTCAATTTCATTCATATACCTTTATCAGTCTTGATTGAAACTGAACCAAAATATCAATATGTTATCAATAACTTGTGAAATGCATTTAAACATCTCAGTCTGAAATTACAGCTAAAGAAAAACTATTTAAAACCACTGGCCAAGCATGTGTGCAACAAGCTTGATTGCTTTTGGACCGTGAATGTCGGTTGCTCAAATTTCAAAAATAATCTTTTTAGAGTTTGTGTTGAAACGCTGTTGCTCTGTGGCTCTGAAAATATGAACTGTTGCTGCCAGAATGAAACAGAGCAGATAGATGCTTTACTCCTCTGCTGCCAAGAGGGTTTTACAAATGATGGAAATCACACAAGACCAAAGGGATTCATGGAGAAATACCTCTGGTACAATCAGCGGTCTGACAACACCAAACAACCAGCTGCAGTGTTTAGGTCACAGTTTGAAGTAATCATGGAGGTGGTGGACTGGAGACGACAGTTGTTAAATCCAAACTCATGACATGAACATCATCTCTCACGTCTGTTTATCTGTAATCATAATAACATGTCCTTCTCCTCCTTCTCCTCCTCCTCCTCCTCCTCCTCCTCCTCGTCCTGCTCTTTATGTTTCACAGTTCTGTCCCACAAAGGCAGAGGCGAGACGCAGCGCTGCCAAGATCGCCCTCATGAACTCTGTCTTCAATGAACATCCCTCCCGCCGCATCACAGACGACTTCATTGAGAAGAGCGTGAACGAGGCCCTGGCCTCCTTTAATGTGAGCCATTATAAACTGCTCAGAGATGTGTGTTCTCTTATGTGGCTGTTAGTCATTAACCCACGCTGACACCCCCACTAACTGGGTTGATGTAAATTAAATAAGTGTGTTGGTGTTTTCCAACTGTTCTCGTGATAAAGGAACAAAGTGGATTCAGAAAACTTGAGCTTTGAGAGGGAAGGATTCAACCCAATGTTCTAACACAGGGGTCCTGCATGATTTTCACAGCAAGGACCCCCACACTGAATGAAGAGATTTATTATAGTATAAAATTGTGTTTTATATTAAACTGGGCCTATTGCCTTATGCACTGGATTTATATATTATATATCCCTGGAGGTTTTGGAGTTCGTGGTTTTTTTTTTAATCTTGTTTGGCTCCAGTTCCTCCCCAAGGGGGGGGGGCAGAAATTCAATTGGAAACCAATGTATTAAAGTGTTAATACCTGCTTGTTCCTGTGAACTGTTTCTCACAGTAGGGGTGTGTCTTTGTATGTGTACATGTCGTCAGTTATTAGTTATGGTTAAATTATGCTCTTTACATCCTAAATGTTATTACACTTAAATTATTATCCCTTTTTTAACCTCTTTCTCCAGGTCGGCAGTTTTCATATGTAATCAGAAACTTTAATACATAACAACATGTACTGAACACTCACTACAGTACTTTGTCTCTTTTCACACTAACAGGGAAACAGGGAGGAGGCCGACAATCCCAACACAGGAATCGGAGCATTTCGCTTTATGCTGGAGTCCAACAAGGGAAAATCGATGCTGGAGTTTCAGGTGCATAAAATCAGGAATGTCTGTTTCCTGTTAAGTAGCATTTTATGTCCCACAGATGAGGCACGAGCGTAGTCTGGAAACAACAGCTGCACGCTCTACACTCACATGCTGCCGCTGAACACTTTTCATCTGAAGGACTAGTATAAATCCAAACCTTTTTATAAGTTGTAGATGTGTTTTTTTGTCCATTGGTAAATATATAATCATTCACTCTTTAAGCTGCTCCTGGACTTGGTGTGTTTTTTGTTTTGTTTTTTCATTCCAAGCTCGAAGTTTTTTTACCCAATTTCCGTGTGGAAAGTAAATTTCTCAGGGCATGCATGCTTGGAATAATTAAATTACTAAAAGCTGAAGTGCTCAGAGGAGACTTTGGCCTCACATGTTCTGCTGACTCCTCTGTGTTTGTGCCTTCAGGAGCTGATGACTGTGTTTCAGCTCCTGCACTGGAACGGAAGCCTCAAAGCCATGAGAGAGCGACAGTGTTCCCGACAGGTAGTGATCCAGAGTCCAGCCCGTCCCACACATCACACATGGGTTCAATTATAGAAGTACAGTAGTGGTTTTCACTGGGGTAATTATGTGACAGCCCAAACAGGCATTTTGCTCCTTTGCACTGTCTGAGCAGCCAGCAGTGGCGAAACCTGAAAATGAGATCAGGAATAAATCCTAACAAGCCTTAAAGAAGGATTAGATTTAGTTAATCCATGGAGTTTTCCTAGACTGAATCTGGTCTACATTTGAGAGAAAGGTACATGTAAACAACACTTCTCAAAGGTTGTAACTGTGACATCATAGAATAAGGTTAAAAAAAAAATATATATATATAAATATATTATTCTTTATAAGAAATGTTGTTCAAAAAACATGAATTGTTTTAAATTGTTTTTGTTTCTTTTGTAGGAGGTGCTGGCTCACTACTCCCACCGGGCTCTGGACGACGACATGCGCACTCAGATGGCGGCCGACTGGGTGAACAGAGAACAGAGCATAGCCAGCACGATCGCCCAGGAGCTGGCCTCCACCGAGCGAGAACTGGAGGATGCCAGGCTGGCGGGCAGAGAACTGCGTTTTTACAAAGAGAAGAAAGACATCCTGATGCTGGCTGTGGGTCAGCTGAACGCAGCCAACACTGCCACGCTGCCCTCACACTAAACCATGGTTTGCAGGATTCCTGGTAACAGTGTTGAACTCTTCAGAGATACGTATGAGGCTTCTGGTTTTTCTTCTATTTTCTTTTGTGTTATTATGTTTACATAATCAGCTCCTGGTTTCACGGTATGTACATGCATCCATATTAGAAACTCTTTTAACGCTGTATCATTTACCTCTGTGCCTAGTGATTACAGGAAAAAAAATTGCTTTTTTTAAAAGAAAACCTTTGATATAAAATAGCTGTAAACTTGCCTGTAAAGTTCATCACTATCCTGAAACTTGGCATTTAAAATAATCGTTTATGACATGAGTTCAAGAAATCAGCAGAATTTTGTCACATGGTAGGGCCGTCACTTTTCATCTAGAGTTAAAATACCAGCTGAACTGTGGGTTTAAAGGTCAAATTTGAAAGTTAAAAGGCTGTTTGATTTAGCCTCGCAGTGAATTTCCTCTTAATGTGACAAAAAAAAAAAAATAGCATGGTGCCAAAAATGGTTTGTCACATGCTGCTGCTCTATACCAGGTGCACTTCTCTGCACTTCTTCATAGACGACTAACATGGAACCCCTCAAAGGCTAATGCTGAGAATACTCACATTTACTGATGTTGTCAGGTTAACATGGGAGATGATAAAAGACAACTTGTGATATCTTCACATTACAGAGAGTTTTTGCTCTTCTCATCCGTGAGTTTGTATTAGAATACAGTGCCATTACTCTCAGGTCTCCAACAGCAGGTTGATTCAGTTTCTGCATGTTACGGCTTTTGAAAACTATTTAAGCATCTTTGTATTAATGCTGGCCATGAAACGTGCTGAATGTATAATGTCTCATCTAAAGGACCTGTATGAGAGGCTGGAAGTCCTCTGATCAGTCTGTGTTGGTCATGTGCATCATGTGGCTGGGTGAGAATCTCACCGTAAAACCGCTAAATTGCCAAAAAGCCACAAATGAGCTGAGGAATCTGAGATTAATTTCAAGTTTGGCTTTTCAAACCCAGATGATTCATGATATCAGTGAGTCATGTATGAGTCACTGTTGTGAAAACAAAGCAGCGTTTGTGTTTTGTTTTTTTAGATCCATGAAAGTAGTGCTTTGTGTCTCAGCAGTGCTGGCGTTCATCTTGCACTCACCACCTTCCCAGTGTTTCTGGGTCAAAGGACCTGATTTCTAACTAAATGCAATATCCTTTAATTTTCCAGTCTTTTAAGTGTTAAAACATTTTTTTTATGACACTGTTAAAATGAAAGTGTTCCGCAAAGTAGCCTCTACCAGACACTCAAAGATTTGTTGAGAGGAACATGGGCAGGGAGTTAAACAGCAGGAGGGCTTGTGCTGCTGGTTGACTTTGGAGAGCCCATACTGATTAAAGTAAATTTACGGAGACTACTAATAAAAATCAAAAAGAGGCAGGAATGTGGAAGGATTGAAGCCAGAGCAGTTTTAATTTTCTGGTTCTGCATTTCCTCTGTGCAGTCGTTGTGCCTTTATAAAACTAGAAGCAGGCTGTGGTTTGACTCATTAGACCAGATCCAGATGTTGTCTTAAAGAGATGCTAATCTGCTCTAGAGCTTTTTTTCTGCCATGTAATGTGTGGATTTTTATGTAGATATTATGTGGATAACATGCAATATACCTTTTAATATGAAGGACTTGTTACATTTTATTACCTTTGGAATACATTTGTAGCCATCACATATTGTCTTGTTGGTACTCGGCTTCAGTAGAACATGTTTAACAGAAAAAAGTCTTAGTCCGTCTCTGATTTATCTCTCACTCCGGCACTATTGTTTGTTGTTTTTTTTACTTTCTCACTGTCTGAAATACAGCCCTAAACCATGAAAGAGTCCCTCCTCCCTCAATGTTTTATCAAAAAGCACAAACAGTCATTGTTGTGTTTCTTTCCTGTAGTACTGACACATTCAAACTGATTTTATTTTTATTCAACCTCAATCTTCAGTCCAATCTTTGTGTTTTTTATTTTTTGTTGCTTCAATTTAAAAAAAAATGGCTGCAACTTTTCTTCTTAGACCAGTTCTGATTTTCACATTTTCAGTAGCTTTAGTACCTCATTTTATACCTTTAAAGTAATGCATGTTTAGAAGTGTTTGCAATGTAACGCATTTCCAAAGACGTATCTGTGTATTATTACCATTACTATTTGTACCTCTGTTTCAGTGGCAGAAGGTAAAGGATGGGATAAAACACAAAGAAAAAAGTTGGCCACAGACTTATTCAAACCACAGTAAACAATCATTTTCTGACCTCACAGATGTGTAGTCTGAACTCACCGTCAATTTTTTTTAACCTCTGATTGGCTCAAGTCCTATTTGATGTCATTACATTGTCAGTGAATCGTTTAAAGTCAAACAAAGTCAAATTACAAACTAGTGCTGCAAATAAATACCAAGGATTATTTCAATGGTTGCGGTTAATTGAGTAACCTTCTGATTTTTTATTTTGTTTTTTTTTACTTTTTGTGTGTGACTTTGTTTTAATACAATGTCTGCAGTTTTTTTTTTACTATTGATAAAGGATGTTTCTTTTGTGATTATTATGAGTGAAGGCTTTATATTTTGGTATATTTTTTATATAAAAACCAATGTGGGCTCTTTTTATCATTTTGAGTCTTGATGCATGCTGTGTTTTTAAGTTCTGATTTTTTTACATGTTGCATATTTGATACAGTATTGTTTTTATGTGTTTCTGAAGACCTGTCATTGTTTGTATTTTCTATGAACATTTTGTATTTCATGTTTATACAGTACCTTTAGTAGATTTATATTATGTAATAAAAAAATGATAGTAATCTTGTAAAGTCTTGCTGTTATGCTTTCCTTTGAAATATCAGCCATCAACAAAAAAGAGGTGAAGAACAGAGTGGAGGCAATGTATGGTGGGTGGAGATGAGCATCAGGGTAAAGTATGACAACGGAAAAAAAATGCAGTAATGAGAGATTTAGAATCCATGTAAATGTGAGTATATTAGAAGGAAAGCTTAGGATGAGAAGTCTCAAGATGAATTTGTGGAGGCGAGGGTTAGATGGTTTATATGTGTGCTGAGGAGAGATGGGAATTAAATAAGACAAAGGATGTTAGAGATGGAGCTGCCCTAGAGGAAAAGAACAGGAAGAACGCAGACAGGATTTATGGACGTTGTTAAGGACTATGTGAAAGTTGTTGGTGTAACAGCATAGGAGGCCAGGAATGGGTGGAGTCTTTTTTTCATTGTCAAAACGTACTATCTGAGAACCAAATGGATTCCGTGTTATAACCAAATTAAATTTGCACAACTTGAAATCCCTCCAGTGAAGTTTCTCAGCCAAAACAACAACCACACACAAACAGCTTGATCAGAACTTAGGAACAAAGAAATGCAACAGATGGAGTCGCCCCCACTGCATGATCTCAGCTCCATGAAACAAGTGTGGGCTTCACGTGGTCATATGAAACTGCCTACATTCCAGAAAATTGAGTCTTTGGAAATTTACTTTTTGAAATAGTAAGACAAGGTAATTTTATTTCTGTTTTACAAGCAAATTAAATAGCATTTGAGCTAAAGGCAAATAATTGAAATCTACATTGAATAATCATTGGACACTATGTTCTATGTTTTTATTTTATTTTATTTTATTTTATTTTATTTTTTTTTATTTTATTTTATTTTATTTTATTTTTTTTTATTTTATTTTATTTTATTTTATTTTTTTTTATTTTATTTTATTTTTTTTTATTTTATTTTATTTTATTATTTTACTTCCGGTACGCCACACCGGAAGAGGTTGGACTTACGTATTCAACACGCTTGTCTTCCGTTGTTCATTCAACATGGCAGCGGGACCAATTTCTGAAAGAAACCAAGGTAATTTCAGCATTAAGATGAATCACATTGTGTTTTTGTTTGGAGTATTTCATTCGGTAATATGTACTGTTAGATTATATCGTGTCACTCTTAGTTTAAAACGTCTTGCTTATTAGCAATTATGGGTAATATTTCGGTAAGAACCGCGAAAGTGTTTCGTCTCTGCTAGCTAAGCTACCGGCTAAGTTAGTGTTTCACTCTACTTCTCATAGTCAAATTAACTTCTCAACAGTTACTGCTATACTTTGTGTATATTCTGTGCAGTTTATCTGTTGTGTGTATATTATATATTATTATATTATTGTGTGTATGTATATTACTAACGACCGTGTGTCCTTAGTAGTATACAGTACCACTTTTACCTCTTTGTTGTCATTCATGTATTATGTGATATGTGTTACTGCTGTCATAATGTAATAATGTTACGTTGTCTCTGGAGCTATTTGCGTTGTCTGTTTATTTGTGTTTATTGTGTTGTATAAAAGAGTTGATACTCAAGTTGACACAGTACTAATGATTCCTCAAGTAAATGTAAAACTTAAACAATATATGTATCACCTGTTGGTATTTTATGGTAAAATTAACTACATCATAATTATATAATTGTTTCAGACGCCACAGTGTATGTTGGCGGCTTGGATGAAAAAGTATCAGAGCCACTACTATGGGAGCTTTTCCTTCAGGCGGGTCCTGTGGTCAACACACACATGCCCAAAGACAGGGTCACAGGCCAACATCAAGGTAAGTTTGTTTGTTTTGTTTTTTTAATTTCATGCCACATTAACCTATCATTGATTGCATCATTTCACTGAGGAAAAACATCTCTATTTGTATTTCCCTAGTCCTCAGCATTTCCCTGCTAATCATGATTCTGTCTCATTCCTTATCTTCTAGGTTATGGATTTGTGGAGTTCCTTAGTGAAGAGGATGCCGATTATGCCATCAAAATTATGAATATGATAAAGCTCTATGGTAAACCTATCAGAGTTAACAAAGCCTCAGCACACAACAAAAACTTGGACGTGGGTGCCAACATCTTCATTGGTAACCTCGATCCAGAAATTGACGAGAAACTGCTCTATGACACGTTCAGTGCTTTCGGCGTCATCCTCCAGACGCCAAAGATCATGCGAGATCCAGACACGGGCAACTCTAAGGGTTATGCTTTCATCAATTTTGCCAGTTTCGATGCTTCAGATGCTGCCATTGAGGCCATGAATGGTCAATACCTCTGCAACAGGCCAATCACTGTGTCGTACGCTTTTAAGAAGGATTCTAAAGGTGAGCGACACGGCTCTGCTGCAGAGCGCCTCCTGGCTGCACAGAACCCTCTCTCGCAGGCCGACAGACCTCACCAGCTTTTTGCGGATGCTCCTCCACCTCCATCTGCTCCTACACCAGTGCTGACTTCGATGGGAGCTGGGATGCCTATGCCTGGCATGGGAGGTAATGACATAAAGCTTCATCCGTAAAATGTGACTCTGGGTAAAAATATTACATATGCTTTCAGGCAAAATGTATGATGTGTTGGCTATGTGTCTTTGAAAGTCTTGATCTTGTTGTGCTTTTGTAACTTTTGTGATTTTCTTACTGTGACTTCTGCACTGCAGAAGAACAAAAGTATAGTAACAGAGTTTGTCAATGTCACATCTTTCTCTGTAGGCATGCCACCACCTGGGGCTTTCCCCCCTGTTCCTCCTCCTGGATCGATGCCTCCTACAATGCCTCCGTCCATGACTATGCCTCCATCTGCAGGAGGCCCACAGGGAGGTGGGCACCCTCCAGGACCTCCACCCTTCCCCCCAGGCAACATGCATCCAGGTATGTCTTTTGGTAATTTTTGGTAGTTTTTTATTTATTGAATCAGCATGGTTATAATGACATCTGAGGACAGTTTGAGCAATCTGTGGGCTTTATTTTCTAACTCCATTTGTCATTTGTCTCCATTAAAGCAGTAAAACAAAAAACTTGTGTATCATTACATTTGTCTTTGCATATGTATAGACCTTAGCACTTTATTTTTGGGGTCTTTCCCGGTCAAAAAACACACTGCCTCTGACTTACTCTATTCCTAATGTGGCACAGGTATGCCCCAGATGTCCATGCATCCTCCTGCTCCACCAGGCATGGTTCCTCCACCTCCTGCTCCTCCAGGTTCAAGTCAGCCAAGGGCACCACCTCCTCCTGGCATGCCACCACCCCCACCTATGGGTATGCCACCGCGAGCCCCATATGGACATCCAGTGGGTAAGTACTGTAGCTCTTTGATGAGAAAATGGTAAAGAAGTCAAATTTACTTTAAGTTACTCAATGGGGAAAATTAATTTATATTATAATTAAAATACCATGTATTTTTTTATATCTGTTTTATCTACTAATTTATGATGTTGTCAGATACTTCTGACTATGCAAAAACTGATTTATAGAGGTATTTGAAGTGTTATTATATATTTTAGTGTCACATAATTTGATAAAGGTTCAAACAACAACAACTGTATAAGTTAACAGTTGGTTTTTAAGCTGTTGGACCAAATAAAGTCAGTGTCTAAGGGTGTGCTCACACATGTCATTTTTGGATTAGTTAATAAGAATCCCATTCAGTTTCTATGACAATGTGCTTCACATAAACATGGGGGGGGGGGGGAAGCTGCCGATCACACCTGGTTTTAGAATCACTTCCTCACAGCCCTGTGTGCATACAGCATTTTTAGAAATGGTTTTGAGTACACTGTATGTGTGCCTGTGTTCTATTTTTTTCTGTCATTGATATACCAAGGCTTTAAAGTGGTGGAAATGTATGTAAATTGAAATTGTTGTTACCCTCAGGTCCACCAGTGCCTCCAGGTATGAGAGGCCCACCGCCTCCTATGCCTCCTCCAGGTTATGGGGCTGCTCCCCCCCGTCCACCTCCGTTTGGCCTCCAGAGAGGACCTCCGATGCCACCAAGACCTCCTACACCTGGGGCTCCACCACCACCCCGTGTTCCGTTGAGAGCACCAATGCCACCATAATCCATCCCATTTTCTAAACCAGTTGCGCTCTTTATTTTAACACCGTTTCTCAAATTGTCATTGTGAAAATTCCTTTTTGTATTTTTTTTGGGGGTATGTACAGAAAAAAGGAGAAAACGTGAATAAAGTTTTTAGTAGAAATCTGTCTTTTTTTTCTCTCATAGTATAGGATGAAAACGTTTCTGACTCTATTTTTTATAATTAGAATTGTATGACTGTCATTATTTTCTCTGCAGTTTATTCCTTTGTGCAACAGAACATTTATTGCCATATCCTGTGAAAGTGCTTTTGTTTTTCGAAATATTTTTTTTCGTCAGTTACCGAACCTTCCCCGAAAAGTTTCAAGTGCTCACGCGAAAGGATCACGTGAGCACAAGAGATTATTTCCTGTTTACTGTATTGAGCAGCTGCGCTGTTCTGCTTAAAAGCCGTATTTACACGGTTATTATTTGAGAATAATTGTATCCTTTTACATGTTAAATATGTGCGCGTTGCTGCAGTTGTCAGCGAGATACTGGGGGAAAAAAACCCGTTGAAAACGATGACGTTGGTTGGCATATGTGAGGAAAATCACACGTCTCTTACATGCATAATATGGCAAGTGGTTGGCATGGCAACCAGAGTCAGGTGTACTTACACGTGTGTGAGGTTTGGTAATTCATGAAATTTAACGCGCATGAAATCAGCTATTTGTAACCGCCGCGAAAGCGTGTCAGACTTTCTTTCGTCTAAGATAAAAAAATTACCTCGCTTCTTTATCATTTATTTTTATTATAGTGTTTATGTGCGCATGCGTGATACTGTATTCCAATTTAGACATTTACTGTATGTGTGTTTAGCGTTGAAAATGTAACACCAACAGTATGTTAGCGTCATGACGTAAAAATTAGTGCATTAAGGCGTAAGTGATGCATAATTAACGAGTATTTCTTTTTTCAGATGCACAGGCGTGTGCTGAGGGTCTGTGTGGGGGGAGGGGACCCCTCTGTGTGTATGTGTGTGGATGGCGTGGGCTTCTCTCCTCCACACCGCACAGCAGCAGCAGCATCATCATCATCACCACTCGCTTCAGAGCAACAGCCTCGTACGCATCATCATCTCCATCCTCCTCCTCTTCTTCATCCTCATCATCACCAACTCCAGGCTGGAGAGGCAGCACACACTCGCGCACCAACGCAGGAAATAAGGTAAGATTGAAATTAACCCTTTACCAAAGAAGATGGATTATGTTTTTTTCTTTTTCTTTTGTTTTGTTTTGTTTTTGTTGTCTTTTTCATTTGGTTGGATGGAGACGTCAAAATGAGGAAGAAGATGTGATGGGCGTGTTCTTCTCCATCACAGCAATTAGTATAATTCCTGTGAATCGCGTTTTTAATCTAATCCAAGTCGTGACAAGATTTAACTGAGCGTGATTTGTTGGAACGAGCACAGGCGTCCGGAAACAGACGAGCAGTCTTTCGGCTATTTATCGTCAGGTTAGTATTATAATCGGGTTTATTTGGTATGCTGTGGAAACTGGCCTCTTAGCGACGAGGCCTTTTTTTTTTTTACTACCTCCCCTGGAGAGACAAGTCCGCTCGTGTTTAACCCTGCATCATTCAGTTTCTGCATAAATGCTGCTCGTGCAGCAAAAACCAACTCCCTGTCGTCAAATCCGAATGTGCGAAAACACTGATATTTGTGAATAATCCTTTGGCCGGAGGGCAGGGGGCTGTTTACCGTGGATGATGTTGGTGCTGATGATATCTTCAGGTGTCCACATCAGCCGTCACCTCACTTTAACGGATAAAAAACCTTCTTAATGAGCCTTTTTAAGTGCAGGAGAAGATGCTGATGTTGATGATAGTGACGATGGCTGTCTGACCTGCTTGGCCTTGTAAAGAAGTGGTAACCTGATGCTGATTGATTTTTGAATGAGGGTTGAAAAAAAATACTACAGTTTTTTTAGACGGGGTGTGGAGGGAGGGTAGATAGAGGGGGTGGGGGGCAGGGGGAGACCAGGGAGCAGTAATTTCCCTCCTCCTGCTCCTCAAGCCTTCCTCTCCTTCACCACTGACAGGGCTGCTACTGCTGGGCTGTGTGATGGCTGCAGAGATGCTGTCAGCTTGACAATGGAACATGAGATGAAATGTGTGTGAAGGTCTTCAGTCAGTGACGCAGGTCATTGTATGTATGTATGTGTGTGTTGAAGACCTTTAAATATTGTCAGTTCTGTGAAACCTCGGTTCAGTACTACGGCCCATAATATTGTAGTAAAATGTTGCAAATGATGTCAGCCCTGGAAAGACAGCACAGCACGTCACATTCATAAATTAGCACCTTCTCACAAACCTCTGCAAAGTGAATTGTCAAAGAAAGGAACTAAGAAATATTAATAAGAAGAAATTATTTATTTTCTTTCTGGACAGATGTCAGGCTAGGCTTCCATATCTTTGGTCAAGTAGAGCATGTCGTAATTGGGTTTGTTTTGTTCGTGCCAAATAAATTAACTGTCTTCCTGGATTACTTGTTATGAATTTGTATTACTTCTCAACAAATATAAAGTAGAGAAAGTGATTTTCATGCATTGTGTTTTCCCTTAAAGGCAGAAAGAGTTGTTAAACAACTGACGTGAGGTTTGCTTGTGTTGTTGTGTTCTGTGTAATCGGAAAATAACGAATAAATGTGGCAAGGTAATCAAAAAGATTCAAAATTAACATCAAACACTGTAATAAAACTAAAATGCTGCAAAAAAACGTTAGTCAAATATTGCTAAACATTAGCTGAAGTTTGTGTCGGAATTCCTCCATTGTGTCCGATTCATGCTACACCCATGGTAACTAGGTAAAATTCCATAAATTTTGAGGCGTTAAAAAAAATAAGTGCTAAAGATATCATCAAGTAGATAACGAGAGAACTGTTAGATTTTAAGCAATTAAACACACATGCTGGTACAGTCATTAAAAAGCAATAACAACAATAACAGTGATGGTAATATAAGAAAACGTCCTTCCACCTAAAGTCTTAAATTCTGTCCTAATATTCTACGTGCTAGAGAAAAAAGTCATTAGCTCGTTGTTCAGTCTGTCTTTGATACAAGTCACTAATGGCTCTAAGAGTTGTTGGTGATTTATTGTGGTTCATATCTGAAGTGTAGACTCTAATCTATTTTTTTTCCAGCCCTCAGTGCAGCTCTAACCATTTCAGTGCTGCAGGCAAAAACTATATTTTGTTGCTCATTTTTCTCTCCTTATAATACAATATTAATAACGTGTTGAAAGTCAAAACATTTTGCTGTGGGGGAGAAGTATTGATATGGGAATAGCTACATAAAAATCAAGGCAGATTACAACGGCTGTTACTGCTATCATGACCACATCATAATAATTTATAAACCTTTTTATAAAGCAAGGAATTATCCCAAATGATATATATATATATATTTTCTTTTCTTTTCTTTTCTTTTGCATTGACTTAATGGGGTAATTGTTGGTTTTGTGCAAATGTTGACGTTTTGTATCTGCTGCGATAATTATAAATTCAAGGAGTGTCAAACCTCCATCAATATGTTTATATTGTTGAAACACCAATGCAGGTCATTGTCTATTGTTATCTATATTGACAATTACAACAGTAAAGAGAACTGAGGCTAATCTTCATCCAGCTGCTTCATTTCCGGGGCCCTGCGGTGACATCGAGCCGTTGTTAACAATATTGTTTCTGCCATTTCATCCCCGGACAATACTGGTAGAACCTGTGTGGGTGTGTGTGTAAATCAAACATCTCTATAATCCAATTATAGGCTCATATTGTTGTAGACCTTCTGCTTGGTAACTGAGAGTGATCACAGGTCTGTCGGGGTCTGCCCACATGTTCACATGTGACAGCGGTCCCGACCAGGCCTGGTGTTTCTGTCTTGACCAGCATCGGCAAATAATGTTGTCATACTGACTGTGAAGGATGTGTGGCTGTGCAGACGTGATGGTTGAGGTCTTTGTAATAGAATATGACAGGAATCATCTGGTTTATTACTGGTGATGTGTATCTGTGGTTGGTTAACAACTTCTTTAAACATACACACTGACAGCCATTCCCCCTACTTGTACATTTACAGTTAGTTACCTGATTGAAATCTAAAGATAAACCTCTGACATCATAATTATTTAAAAATAAAAACCCAGAAATTATCAATCCAGGAAGATCTTGGTAAAATGAGCGATAAAAAAAAAGTCAGTTCATTAAGAAACAGGCAAAACATTTTGTAATTAAACAGCTAAAGTCTGTAAAAAAGCCAGTAGAAAAGACAACTAAACATTAACCTGTAACTTGCCATGTGCTATCATCAAATATATATATAGAAATATATTGTAACATTAAGCTAAAAATAAACAAAAGCTTCTATTGGATGAACTAATTTGTGGAACATTGTGTTAGAGACCAAGGTCAGACTGGTGACCACTGGGACCCTGTTGTTCGACTGCACCATAATCTCAGTGACACACTGACACAGTGTATCAGTACAGAGACATGTATACTGTATGTGTTGATCAGCAGCCAACTGTACATGTCAGTGCGGTATTAATGGGTAATGTGACTCCACAGCAGAGGCAGGTGCATCACTTTCTGTTCTCTTCTCAATTTCATGCCTCATTTATTTCAGTACACATCACTGTTACATCACTAATCATTCAGGTTGTTTTTTTTTTCATTAAAGGAGATTTAAGGTTCTATTTCATTAATCCATGACGTGAAACGTGTTGTTTTCCTCACTATTGATCACGTGGTGAATTCTAAAGCCAATGTTTACTTTGAGGACTCGACATTCATTCCGTGCTGGCTCGAACTGACGTGATGAAGAGTTGTTGACGTGCCGTGTCTGATCAGGAGAGCAGACTGGCAGTGAAGATAGTTAACTGTGATGTTCTTTTATCTTCACCTCATGTCTGATCTTCTGGATCACCGTTTCAGTCACGGTGAAGTTGCGTCAGGGTGATTTAGCTCTTCGACGCTTCTGCAGGAAGCAAGTAGCATCCATTAGAAAATACACTGATTGTTTGAGGCCCTAGTGTCTGAACTCATTAACTGCAGCCTGTATGTGACTCAGCCCATAGACCATGCCAAGTGTGATATTGAATAAGCTGCTTGTGGGAACAGAACAGGCATCGTCTAAGGCCATGGTTATTATAAAGAAAATAGAACCGAATAACTGGCAGGAATGGAGTTGACAGTGTGCAGAAATATAATGTGTCAAACCTTGTCATTATGTCTGCCTCCAGCTTAAATTTCCACTGTCTGAAAAATATTTTTTTTCCTAGCTTTGTTGACAGTTTGCCTTTCAGTGATGTTGTTTTGTGTCCCACTGTAGCGTTGTCTACCTCTTTATGGTTGTTTCCCATCCGTCCAGTTGCGATGGGTTTGTATGTGGCAGCTTTGCTTCTGTCCAGTGTTGTTTTATAGCTGTTTTGTGCATCTTTGTAGACTGCCTACCCCCTCCTGCGTGTGCATGTGTGGGTTTTCCTCCCACACACTTTCCTCTCACTGTTCAAAAACTGAGCCAGTGCAGCGAGACCGAGGCTGGCTTAATGAGGGCTGGGATTTCATGCAGCTTTCCAAACAGTTCTCAAAGGAAAGGCAGTAAAGAATCAATCAATGGACAGATAAATGAATGGTTGAAGGTGTAAATACTAATTCTGATGTAAATGTTAGCAGATCTTTTACATTCCACACGGCTACTTCCCTTTATATCCCACTAAGTATTTCTCTTTACCTCCCACACTGCGGTCTGAAACTGTATTCTATGGTCGACTTCACTGTAGAACTCTGCTTTTTCTTCTCCAGACCTACAGAGAGCCCGTTGTCTGTCAAGCAACCTTCAAATACCTGAGGTGTATCCTGAACAATCTGTTCAGGTGGGCTCCTCAGTCGACCCCCGACCACCGTTGCCTCATCTGAACCCCTTAACAAAATGGAAGAGAACTACCAAAACCGGACTGCCTTCATAAAAGGTGCCAAAGACATTGCCAAAGAAGTGAAGCGCCAAGCGTCCAAGAAGGTCGGCCGCTCGGTGGACCGGGTGAGCGACGAGTACAGCATGCGCTCCTACAGCCGTTTCGAGCAGGACGATGACGACGATTACCCAGTGCAGGGAAGTCAAGATGGAGGTTACTACCGCGGAGACAGCCAGGCTGCCAACGACGACGAGGGAGGTCACAGTGACTCCACGGAGGGTCACGACGAGGATGACGAGATCTATGAAGGCGAGTACCAGGGAATCCCCAGGGCTGAGTCAGGCAAAGATAGCCTGGCGGGAGGGCAAGGATCCATGGGGGCCGGTGCTCAGCAGTTCAGAGATATCGGAGTGTCCGAGGCTGAGAGGAGGAAGGACCAGGAGGAGCTGGCTCAACAGTACGAGACCATTCTGCAGGAATGTGGTCACGGGAAGTTCCAGTGGTGCCTGTACTTCGTACTGGGACTGGCACTGATGGCAGACGGTGTGGAGATCTTTGTGGTGGGCTTCGTCCTTCCCAGTGCTGAAAAGGACATGTGTCTGTCTGAACCTAACAAGAGCATGCTGGGTAAGAGTCCTCTACAAGTGACAGTAAGCCTGAAGTGGGATATATTTGACAAAGAAGATAGAGTGGCATTTGTTGATTTAAAAAAAAACGTACTTAGCACTCTCGTCTATCTCTAACTCTATGAACCAGTGAAAAGATCATCTCTGTTCATGTTGTAGATGGTGTTTAAAAATCTAACCAAATGTTACCTCTGTGGACAAAAAGCTACTAATGTGACGAGACTTAGGAAGTGTCTTTTTAACGACCGTTCTGTAAGACAAGCCCTCAGTGCTGCCATCAAACAGCAGTAGTTTATACAGTTTTGTTAGAAAACAGAAAAGAAAAGAAACAAAACCACTGATAAATTCTTGCTCTTCTCCGCCCTCAGGTCTGATTGTATATTTTGGGATGATGGTCGGGGCTTTCCTCTGGGGGGCTCTGGCAGATCGGATAGGCCGTCGACAGTCTCTTCTCATCTCGCTCTCCATCAACAGCGTATTCTCCTTCTTCTCTTCCTTCGTCCAGGGCTACAGCACCTTCCTGTTTTGCCGCCTCCTCTCAGGCGTTGGGTAATTGCAAAAACTATTTTCTGTTTTGATCTGGGTCGTTAGACTTGAGTGTAATTCGTCAGATGTTCATTTGCAGTGAATGCTGGTTTTCATTAGCAAGTCAGAGAAAAACAAGAATAATCCACAAACACACAGATATTATTGCAATTATCCATCCATCCATTAGTTACTGCCTGTTCCTTTTAATGCATTTATGTTAATACAAATGATCAACACTGATAATTTCCATACAAAAGACCTTTTATAAGTGATGAGTGAAATGAAGCTGAAAATGATCATCTGTATCTTCTAGCAGAAGTGAAATGATAATGAAGGATTATTAATTAAAGATGTATAATTTGTTGGTGTCTTCTCTGAGCTATAAATCTCTAAATCTGCACCCCTGAAGTTTAGAGAACGTTTTGACATCTTAGTTAATAACCTTTTCCATGAGCTTCTGTAAATTTTTAACACAAACCAATAAAAACACAACATCACAAATGTGAAAAGTCGAATACTTCATCCTAATGCTTTAAGTATCCTGAATTTATTGAGTAATACTTTCTGTCATGAAACAAAATTAAGTTAACGTTAATCTGATATACCCTGGTTGGTTTCCTCTCTTCCAGGATTGGTGGATCAATTCCCATCGTGTTTTCCTACTATTCTGAGTTTTTGTCTCAGGAGAAACGTGGTGAGCACCTCAGCTGGCTCTGCATGTTCTGGATGATCGGGGGGATCTACGCCTCGGCCATGGCCTGGGCCATTATACCCCATTATGGTAAGCACCTGGAATAATGGCAGGATTTGGTGAGTTTCTCGTTTAGTCACAAACTACTCTTATCATAGCTGAAAGCTCAGTTTGTAAACCAAGCCTGATATAGATGAAAGTTAGTAAAAAAAATCATCATTGCAGTAGCTAAGGGATTGATTAAAAATAATCTGTGTATTATATTTCATTTTTTTTCCATTCTTGTCTTGCCCGTCTGTGGGAGTTACTGCTGCATCGTGTGAGCTGATTTATATTCATTGATTTGTTTTTGTATCCTAAGGTTGGAGTTTCCAGATGGGTTCAGCATATCAGTTCCACAGCTGGCGTGTGTTTGTGTTAGTGTGTGCCTTTCCCTCAGTGGCCGCCATCGCCGCCCTCAACGCCGTGCCTGAGAGCCCACGCTTCTACCTGGAGGTTAGAGTCGATCCCCACTCGGCAGCGATAACTAACATGATTCTTAAAGTCAAATAACAAATTACTTCCTCAATATCTTTTCCTGTAAATAAAGGTGAGGCAAAGTGTGACCTTTTCCCTTGTTTTTCCCTGTGACAGAACGGCAAACACGACGAAGGCTGGATGATTCTGAAGCAGGTTCACGACACAAACATGCGAGCTAAAGGCTACCCAGAGAGGGTGTTCTCTGTGAGTAACAGAGCAGATCAGTTACAGAATGGAGGTTTTGTTGCCCTGTAACAGATACACAAACACACAGTTTTCCTTTAGAGTGTATTTCATAAAAATCTGCAGCCGCATTTCATTTTTTTTCTCTCTGATGAAAAAAAACAAAACAAAACCCACACAACATCAGTCCTGCCTTTGAAACACCTATGTCTTTGATCCAAGGTCACCTCCATCAAAACGGTGAAGCCGGTGGATGAGTTGGTGGACACTGGCACCGACACTCCAGTTTGGCAACGTTACAGACTGAAGATTATGAGCCTCTCCCAACAGGTGAGAACAACGTGAGAGAATATAAGTCACACATCCGTCAACCAGCTGTGTGTCCTCACAACGTGAGAGAATATAAGTCACACATACGTCAACCAGCTGTGTTTGGAGCTCGTCTGAGTAAATGGATGTTTTTATAGTCATGCAGCTGCTTTGGGGTAAAAAAAAAACTTGCAGAAAACACCTGCAGCCAATTTGAGATGCAAGAAATTCTCCTGAGATCAGTGAAACCTGCAGTGTTACAGTTAGTACATCTTCACATTTGTCTCAGATAGGTTTTTAACATGATGTTTTTTTATTTATTTTATTTGTTTTGTACATTTTTGTAGTGTCATTTCTGTGCAGTTGTAATCTGACATAATAATCTGCTGCTTGTTTTCCTTCTGGGCGTTCTGCTGCACCATCTGCTGTATACCTGCAGAAACTACGCCTAGGGCATAATGATAAAGAAGCACTGTAACACATGTTTTACATTTTCCTGCGAAACAATCCAGATACGCAAGAATATCCTGGCCTGCTTCAGCCCGGAGTACAAACGAACAACCTTCATGCTCATGGCCGTTTGGTTCACCATGTCTTTCAGGTAAATTCAAACACTTGGACATGGGATATTACTGGAGTTTACAGTCACTGTAAGAACCTCTTCTCATTTGTTATTCTTGCATTTGTAGCTACTATGGCCTGACGGTGTGGTTCCCCGACATGATCAAGTACATCCAGAAGCAGGAGTACGAGTCAAAGACGAAGACCTTCACCAAGGAGCGAGTGGAACACGTGACCTTTAACTTCACCCTGGAAAACCAAGTGCACCGTGAAGGATACTACTTTAATGATAAGTAGGTGTTGAGTGAGCTGCAGCTTTTAACAACTGCCATAACAACTAAATGAACAGTTGATTTTAAACAGTGCAGTTTTCTCTATGCTAGCAGCCTGAAGGTGAAGTACAGCAGGATATTTGTCATGTTTATACTGTAGTATCAAGACTCAGAGATTTCTTTTGTTCCCCAGGTTCCTCAACCTGAAGATGAAGTCCATGGTGTTTGAAGACTCTGTGTTTGAGGAGTGCTACTTTGAGGACATCACCTCCACACACACCTTCTTCAGAAACTGCACCTTCGTTGCCAGTTTGTTCTATAACACAGGTAAACATCTGTGAATGTCCATTAGCATCGCTGCGATGCTCCTAATCTAACCATTAATATTAAATATTTATCTTTCGGCAAAACCAGGGAACGATGCAGCGATAGAAGTCTCTCCTGACTGATTTCCTTCACATGCAGCGGCAAAACCAGGGAACGATGCAGCGATATGATTACTTTAGCGGTGTGATTATTTTGTTACAGCACAGCAAAATGTGACTTCTGCATTTAACTCACCACCTTAGTGAGCAGTGAATATAATTTCAAATATAATTTTCAAATATAATTTCATACGATCACAGCTAAATAGAAGAGGAAAGGTTGAGGGGCTGTTGCCGTGGCAACACTTTGACGCTGGTTATATATGGTTTACACTGCAGCAGAACAGTTACCATAGCAACATAAACAAATTCAGTGAGGACTTTAAATTAATTTAATTTTGTATGTTTCACGTGTGACTGTTTCTTTGATGAAATGCTTTTTTTTTATTATTCCTGTTTCATTGAAAGTATAGGATAACTGAATAGCCAGTTATGGCTAATAAACAATTCCTAAATTTGGTACACATGCATGAGGTCATCTCTAAATAGTAAGTCAAAAAACAAAAACAAAGAAAAAATAATATAAAAAGATTTTGACTGCATTTCTTCCCATGAGCCTTTGAGGCAGGTCAGAGGTCATTCTAGGTGAGACACCTGAGAGTCCGTCGGTCTTACTGTTCTTCTATGACTCCACCTCTAAAGCTTTGAAACATCTCAAACTTTTCTTCAACAAATTACAGCAGTCGAAAGTTCTCTAGAGCGAAACATAAATTATTCCTGATTAATGCATTTCACATTCAACTGATCGCTCAGCACTTTCTTTAATGCTTGACTGGCTTTTTTAAAATTGGGCTTTGGTTATTGGAAGTTTCCATTAGTGTCGTCAGTAATCCTGAGCGCACAGCGTTCAGAAACAGTAACAGGCAGACCAGACTCCGTCTGACCTCTCCTGATCAGCTCTGTCATTTCCTTGTATGTTTGAAAAAATCTGGGAGAACAAAAGTCATTGTACTGGAGTCTGTTTTAACGTGAAGTCTCTGCCTTAAAGGAATTTTGATTAAGAACAGATGGCGCTGGAGGAACCGTTGTGTTGTGTGCGGTTTCTCTGCACATGTGAAGGAGATGATTTCATCCCATCTTTTCCTCTTTTAGGGAAAATAATCATTTATGTGAGAGTGTGGGCCCGGTCTCAGTAGTAAGAGGGGAATGCAGTGAAAATCAGATGTTTTCAGTCAAAAATAGAAAAATGAAAAGGCTGTTATGGTTCAAGTAGCAATGATAGAAATACCAAATGTTAGTGTGCTACACAAAACAGAAGAGTTGAGATAAATAAGTTGCTCTTGTAGGTTTGCAGCTTGGATAAAATGTTGACACCATAAATATCTTAAGGATAAGAAGCAGTTATCTTTTAACTAGAACTACTTAAAAAAAAGTACATTGCAGCTTCCATAGTGTTTTCTGTTCAGTATTATTATTAAATTATTATATTATTACTATTTATTTTTTACATTTTACATTTTATTAAATTATTATATTATTACTATTTTTTTTTCAACATTACAGTGTTTACATTTACTTTTCTGTCTTTTTTTCCACCAGATTTATTCAAGTACAGGTTTGTCAACTGTAAACTGGTCAACAGCACGTTTCTCCACAACAAAGAGGGCTGTATACTGGACTTCAGCGACGACTTCAACAATGCCTACATGATTTACTTTGTCAACTTCCTCGGCACGTTGGCGGTGCTGCCTGGCAACATCGTCTCTGCTCTCCTCATGGACAAAATAGGACGTTTGAGGATGTTAGGTGAGGAACAGGTCAAAGGTGACGAACCCTCAGCCCTGACCACAGAAGCTGTTTCATTAACTCACTGCAAATCTCATTGTCGTCCCTGTCACAGCGGGATCCAGCGTCATTTCCTGTATCAGTTGTTTCTTCCTCATGTTTGGCAACAGTGAGTCAGGGATGATCGCCCTCTTGTGTCTGTTTGGTGGCATCAGCATTGCATCCTGGAACGCCCTGGATGTGATCACAGTGGAGCTCTATCCCTCTGACAAAAGGTAACTGTAAAGCACAGAACATTATTATTATTATTATTATTATTATTATTATTATTATTATTATTATAAAATAATTTAAATGCATTGCACCTGTTTTTACTATTAAAATTAAATTGGATGTTTTTAAAACTTTTGTTAACTGCTATATCTGATATAGAAACATTTTAAAATTCCTATGTGAAGCATAGAAACATTTGTTCAGATTCAGACACTGATGACAGATTAATTGGTTTAAATGTAAAGTATAGTTTCTAGGGACTGAAAAGATTGAGAGACACGTGGTTGTGCTATGTTTGTAAGTGTGTAAACTTAATATTTATGAAACAATGGCCATTACTTTGACTCATAAGTTCTGATAAAACATACATGAATTCTTTTTACAATCTTTTCCAGGACCACCGCCTTTGGCTTCTTAAACGCTCTCTGCAAAGTGGCCGCTGTCCTGGGCATCAGCATCTTCCAGTCATTTGTGGGCATCACCAAGGCCGTACCTATTTTATTTGCCGCTGGCGCCCTTGCAGCAGGTAGTTTCCTTGCAACCAAGTTGCCTGAAACGAGAGGCCAAGTGTTGCAGTAAGAAGAGGTGACCAGCAGTAGGCAGCAGAGTTACAGCTGGAGTATATTTGAAAAAAAAGAAAAGAAAAGCCAAACACTCTTGAGAGCTTCAGCTGCTGCCCATCACACGGACTGCCATCTCCACCGTAAGCCCAGAAACCCAGTCTTTCAAAAGTAAGGCAGACACACAGAGAATACAGATATGTCATGATATCACAACAACATCCTAGAAAAATCTGCATCCAACTGCTGTCAGGTTTTATTAGATCTTTAACAGAAGAGTCACATTGGTGAACGTGGTTGACGTGAAAATGTACTGTTAGGATAAAAACACCCAGAGATCTTCAGAGAGAAAAGCCATTCCTGGGGGAACAGGTAAAAAATATTTACGTGTGACGGTTGATTTTCTCCCTTCTGTTTTCTGACTCAGTCACTGGCTTTCAACACTGCCTTTTCATTTCCTGTGACCTTACAGGTAATCATTCAACTACCATTTCCTTTTGTGATTATGAAAAAGACCTCAAACGTTAATTTTCAGGGTAACTTTCTCTTAAAAGCAGCCGCTGCCACTTACTCAGAAATGCCAATTCCTTCACAGCTACATGAAAAAAAAAAAACTATAGAGACGTGTTTTAGTTTTTCTTTTTGTCCAGGTTATTTCTCTTCTGAAATTCATGATTACAAAAATTCACAATAGTTCTTCTGATTTCAGAAAAAAGAGATGTGTGATTCTTAGAGACATATATGAGACAGTGTGTGACTCATTCTATTAGTTTCAGATCGTTGCAGGTTGTTGTTGATCCAAGAGCTGAACAGCAGTTTTATATTTGTTGTCCATTTTTTATTAATCTATCTCAGCTGTGGTCTAGTGCTACTGCTGTCAACACCACTGGACCTCAAAGACTGATACAACATAAAAAAAATAATTTGGGCCAGTACATTAGTAGCCTCCAAAACAACAGCCCACATCTGGTATATTGAACGTAGGCCACAAATGTTCACTCAAATACAGAGAAATAGCAAAAAGCACTGCTTTACTTATTTCTCAGTACCTACATATCAGATGTGGGCAGCTATAGAATCCTAATGCGTTACATAATGTGAGACAAACGACCAGTTTTGGGGATTATTTTTAATTCTTTTCACAGCACTTTTGCCAATCTCTTTTTTTGTAACAAAGTGAGTCTGAATGCATTGATTTATACATTTTTCCTTTGTCAAGCACAAAATTTGCTTCTAAAAATCCCATACAACCCTTGGAAGTCTAATTATGATTTCATTGGCTTAGCAAGCACAAAAAGGACCTGAGCAGTCCAACCGATCAAAGAGTCAGGCACAGAAAAGTATAAATGAAATTACTAATTCAATTTAAATTTAAAGGGCTTGAATGGGTGCAGTCACTGCCATCATTTATCATGAAAAGTCAAATTATAAACTGTGCCCGTGCATAGCGCTATCAGCCTCTGTTATCATGGTAATTCAATCCAGACAGATTTCCTATGGTCAGTTTGGTGTGAAGTGGACCCAGTCACTCTGAAAAGTGAAGTTATTTTACACATATCAATACTACTTTGGTATTATTTCTCCAAAGGTGTACATCAATATGTGTGTTGACAATCAGTGAGTGACCGTGTTATTGTCATGTGATGCTCGAAAACATCCTTTGGATTTTGGTGTGTGTGTGTGTGTGTGTGTGTGTTTATCTGCTTCATCAGTTGCCCCTACCCTGAGCAGACAGATTAAGGTAATGGAAAAACATTAATGCTTAGCGTAAGATGTTCGTCTGCCCTCTCTTATTATGTGTGTGTGTGTGAAAGTTCAGTGGAAATGTTATAAACTTTAGGAAGTCCACTGTCCTACTTTTTTTAGTTTAGCTTAGTATAAAGACTGGGAGCAAGGCTAATTAGCTTACATAAAAAATATCACTGCCATAAAATATTAGCTTTTGGTTGTTGTTTTTTTGTTTTTGTTTTTTTTGTTTTATTTTAAACAAATTTAAAAATAATATGACCTTGAAAACAAAGAAACAAAGAAACAAAAAAACAACTAATCCTCTCAGTCCTTTGCTATGCTAACTACCTGGCAACTTAGGCATTAGGCATTATAATTATATTATTAGGCATTATATTATATATTAGGCATTATAAAGCTCAGGCATTAGCCTAGCGTACGAACAGATATTAAATAGTGAATGTGAGTGATTGTTTTATTGTGGTTATAGCTGAGAGGTTACACCAGCTGAACCAATGACTTCATTCACAAAATCAGTGTACACAAAGATGACAAATTGATATAAAACAGAGAGAAAACATTCATGTACAAATTAAACAAACAGCAGCCATTTTAGTTGGTCTCTCGCAGCCCTCTGAGCTACTACTGCCCAAAATGATGTTCCTTTTATCGTTGAATGTGAACTGGGAACGTTATACAAAATAATGGGAACTTTTTAAGGAGAATCTAAAACCGTACCTGTCCAAAACCACTACAACAATACTCTTGTATAAATCCCTGCTAATTGGATATTTGAGAACATAATGAACCATTGGACATAGTATTCTTATTAAGCATTCCTCAAAATGTCACCTTATTCAGTAACATCGTCACTCTGAGAATCGTTGCCGTGTTGTTGTTGGGTTTTTTTTGTTCTTCTTAATGTTGTGTGATTTTTATGTGAACAACTTCCATCAAGTTTTTTTTGCGTATGGGGTTGTGTGTAAATGTGTGTGTGTGTGTGTGTGTATGAATATAAACTGACTCTAAATAGTCTGTCACCTATTTTTCTACTTTTTCTGTTGCCGTACTTTCATCTCTGTGATGAATACAGCTCAGATAGGGACCACGGAAATATATTTAAACAGTTGTAAAAAGCTACAGACTGAGTTGGGTCTTCACACCTCGCTGTGCTGCGGGCTCCCTGGAAGAAGAAGAAGAAAAAATCCTAATGCAATATATGCAGTGTAGACTTTATTGTGCTGTTCTTTATTATTGACATTAGTGTTTTTTGCTGGTAAAAAAAAAAAAAATTGGTCTTTAAAATGAAACTCTCCCGAAAAAGTTTCAGAGATACTAAGCGGCTTGTTCCTCTGCTGTAGAACCACATTGTAGAAAGAACACAACCCAAAATGAAGACACGCCCCCCCAGACCCTTCTGTACTCAACCGATCGTGACGCATGTTTGTATCGTATTGTCTGACCTTTTGGACGTCCTGTATGCCAGCCGTTTATTTGTCTTAAGCAAGAACTTGTGTTCTCATTGTTGTATGATGACATAGATCTGTTGCTTGCAGTGATTGTTCTTAATCAAAGTGGGTGAAAACTTGGTCCAACTTGAGTATGTGTTCTGAAAGTAAGTTAGTGGTGACTGTGCTCCTTGTCTCCCTGGGACCTGGGTTACTTTAAATATATACATATATGAATATGAACTGTATATGCCTGCATTCCATGTGTGCAATTCAACTGATTACAGATATACCAATACATAGTACCTGGAAGGAACAAGGCGTAGTTCACTTTAGTTAGGCTTGTCCAAAGTGTGGGTTGGAGGTAATTTTATATATATATATATATATATATATTAGAATGGCAGAAAATGAACAAAAATGCGTTTGGACACCCCTGACTTCAGTGAACAGAGCTTGCGATGAACATCAGTCAAATAATTAATCTGACTTAAAAATCTATTTGTCCAAATGAGGAGAAATAAAGTTGGGGGTTTTCCCCAATTTGAACTAACAGTAACAGTAACAAGTAACATCATCTCAAACAACAATAATTAAAAGGAGTGTCCAGTGTCAAATTGCAACTCATGTCTAAAAATTGTCAAAGGCAAATATTTAATGTTAATATATGTAAAGTTTATATTGATACACACAAATATATATATATATATATATACATATAGATATATATACATATATAAACTATTCAAGGGACTTTGATTTGAGTTGTATCTTGAATGGTGATGGCAGTGATAGTGGTCTAAAGACTTCCCTCAGTGATGATAGAAATTTGTGAAGGACTTTTTAACGGCGTGGTTTCTGATCTTTTCAACTCTTAAGAGCACAAGGATCAGCCCTGAATGAATCTTTACAGAAGCAGCACAGACCCGTGCTGGAAAATGACTCCATCATCTGCAAAGAACTGCACTGTCCTTTGGACTGAACAGGTTCCTGTTTCCCTCCCCCCTCTTTCAATTTCTTTACTTTGACTCTGATCTGTTTGATTAATAATAGAAGTTCTACTCTAAATGTGAGTTCAATCGAAAAATCAATGTGCTGTGTGTAGGATCTGTATAGATGTTTGTATGTGCAAGTAAGGATTTGTGGAACAAAAGATCAAAAATATGACACCAAAAAAAAGAATTCTATGGTGTGTTGTCTGTGTTTTTGTAACTGAGGACTCCAACTCTTGGTAAATTCAGTATTTATTGCTTCTGGATATTGAGAACATTTTAGTGATGCTGAAAAGGTGCTGTGTTTATTTTATGTGAGAGTTGTTCTTTGTGCTGGGTTTTGCACTTTGGTGCCGTTTTCCCCAGTTCTACGAGAAAAATATAAATTATACTGGAAATAAAACACGAGAAATAAAGGTCATTGTTTGCATTGCAGGACATCGATCACTTCAGTTACAGCTGCTGTTTGGGCCACTGTAGACCTGTGTAGTTTGGTTGTGAATTTTTGTAAAAGCTTTTGTTTAGCAACTTCTCTGGACACTGGCAGCAACATATCTGACAAATCCCAGCAACAGAAAGTGTTGTTTAGAGACACAGCCTCTCATTTTCACAAAAAGAAAATGATTGGTCTCACACTTTTGAGTAACAGTAAACAGTTACACAGAACCTCCATTTTTGTAGATAGTCAAACAAATACCTGCCAGTCGACTAGAGACAAACTGAATGTGTTGTAATGATAACTGAAGATTGTCATGTGTTGTGACTGGTACACTGAGGGTCATTCACCTTTAACTGAATATTTGATGTTGCCATGTCTCGTGAAGCACAGCCTCCAGTTGTTTGTAGTTGTTGTTTGATAGGAAGTCACTGCAGACCATCTGGTAGAAATCACATTTTATTTTGTAAACTTACAAATATTCCTAGAAAAAGTCACATTAACTTCACATCAGGGGATAACAAGCATAGAGAGCGATGCCACACTGGTTGTGTTTGTTGCGAGCCATCTTGATGTAGCCGTCTTCTCCGTAATGTTTTCCCCAACTACATGTAAAACACACGTACAGTTTAACAAAAAAAAAAAAAAGAAAAGAAAGTTAGCCCATAGGTTCCCATTACTGCCACCTGTGGGCAGACAGGTGGGTTTTAGTCTCACCTGTTCTTGACTAGCCAATAGTCACGCCCTCTCTCATTGCCATAACCCACAGCGAGGACACCGTGGTTCACATTGTCGCTGCATTTGCGGTCAGTGTAGACACCTGTTGGACAACACACAAAGGCATGAACTGATCAGTCTAAAAATATCTAAAAACACTTGGTGTAATGTCACAAGCTCTCACCGTGTCGATAGAAGGCGAACTTTGACCTCGACGCATCAATTGCAACAGAAATGGGACCAATTTTAACCAATGCGTCTTTCAATGCGTCTTCATCCCCCTCTGGCAGCAGGACGTAGCTGGAGCAGTTGGCAGCACGATGCTGCGGGTCATACATGCATTTACCGGGCTGAAAAATAAAAGAGCACAGTTACTGTATGCACTGTCAAGAATTCAGTTACCCAATCAAACTCAAGTTGTTGATTTCTCCCCTTACTTTGCCAGTGTAGGGATAGGCAGCCTCAGAGTCAATGCCGGGGTTTTTAATGACGTATAGGAAGGCGTTGGTCATGAAGCCGCCGTTACAGCCTTGGTTACCAAACCTTTTGGAGCAGTCGACCAGATTCTGAGGACTGAGGGACATCAGGACTCCTGTGGACTTCTTCAGCTGCCCCTCCAGAGCTCCAACTGCACTGAATGCCCAGCAAGAACCACAAGAACCCTAGAAATGAAGTAAGTAACTCAACATTATTCATGTAAAACATCGCTCTAATCAATTAAACTTCAGGACCAGATGCTAACAGCTCACCTGCATCTTAACCTCAGTAACCAGGCCTTTTTTCCTCCAGTCCATCGTTGATGGTAAAGAACTGATCTTGCTGTAGTTGGACGGAACTCTTTTCAGGTCTGTTGGTACCACAGTGCCCAAGAACGTGCTGGCTATTTCCTCAGAAGTCTACGGAACAGTGGCAGTCAGTGCCATCAGCTCAAAGTGACTGAGAACAGTGTCAGATACAAGGACAAAGTAAAGGCTTCCAGTCACCATGTCTCCTAAGTGGTTCATGGCCAGTTCGTAGGTGTGTAAACCCATGGATGCTTCCAGGTTGTGGATGTTAATCATTTTTAGGTTCTCCTCCCAGATCCGCCTGCGGCCCAGCTCTTCAACCTGGGAAGTCAAATTGATTCAGTGAACCACAGACTGGGGAAAACCCCCAGGATGAAACCAAGTTTTAGTACCTGATAGGAATATTCTTTCTGATGCGTCTTTTTCCAAAGATCCCAATGGTGGTCGAGTTCTACCCTGATGGAGGCCACCGCAAAGGAACAGAGGACGGAGCAGAGCAGGTGGTGCAACATGTTTGGATCTGGACAAGGAGGGTGACAGGTTAGTGCTTGGCTTAAAGGTATGTCTGCAGCAGTCTTTAACAAATGAACACGATATATTTAATATTTAAAAAGAACCGCTAAAACAACATACCTGGGCCGACAACCTGAGAAGTCCCTGGACTAAACGCGGCAGAACGTCATTTATCACCTACTCACGACAGCTGCAGCTCATTAACTCACTGATTTTTCTTCACCTCCGACCAATGGAGACCAAGTGTTTTCGTGTTGTCTGTGTGACATCACTACCTTTTTTTTTAAACCCCTCATTTTAAGAAAAAAGTACTATGAAGAACTGCATTAACTAGTAAAGATACTTACGATTATTCATTGATAATACGATTATCTGTTATCACACTAGAGTGGAAAAAATGTGTAAAATGTGATGTTTGATTTTTAAATATATAAGATTTATTCAAATAGAATCAGCAGATTATGCTAAAAACAACCATATCAGATAAAAAGAGGAAATGTGTGAACCACACGTGAATTAAAGTCTAAGAGAGATGTGACAATTTCATAGGTATCTGATTTATATAAAAAAAACAGAAACGTCTTTTAGACATCAAGAGTTTTAAACAAGTTTTATGTTTAATTTAATCATGTTTTTCAACCACGGACGTTTAAAAAACAAATAAATCAGAGCAAAGTTCAGGCTGTGACCTGGTGCAAACGACATCATCAGCATTTCAAAAAATATTAATAAAATTAGTTTAGAATCCCCAACTATTTAGTTATTTACTATTTAGCATCTGTTTCGGTTCAACGTGATGTTGACAACATTGAACGATGACTTTGTCACAGTGTTGGATAAACTGCAAAGCTGGCGATGCCACAGAGGTTGTTTTTGTTCTTTGCCAGTCGAATAAATCCCTCCTCTCCCCACGCCGTTCCCCAACTGAAACGGAAGAAAAGACAGAGAAAAACCAACAAACACTGACAGTATTTCTAATGAAAGCACAGGTGTTCCTGTGGTAGAGATTTCCTAGATCGAACCTGTTCTTCACCAGCCAGTATTCCTGTCCTGCGTCTGTGCCGTAGCCCACCACCAGCACGGCGTGATTGATGAGGCGTGGGTTGCAGCTGGGAACATTGTATAAACCTAAAAGAAAAAAATAATTTTAGTTTATAATTTCTGACAGGACTGGAAACCAGACGTGTTGGAGGAGTCGGTGGATAAATGACAGTTGAGTGTGGGATTATTTCTTCTCATTAATCCATGTTATATTAGGATCTTCGGGAGAGTGTCTGTAGAATTGTCACATCCTTCATCCTCACCTCCTCTGTACAGATGGAACGACGACAGCATGGCGTTCACCGCCACGGCCACAGGTCCGACCGACGCCACCACAGCCTGCAGAGTTTTTTCGTCTCCGTGTGGAAGGATGTGAAAGTCAGAGCAGGAGCCAGCTTTCCCTTTAACTGAGTAACGACATTTCCCGTTCTAAACAAAGGTGGGATTTTTATTATTTCTCAGTGTGTGTAATGTAACTCTAACTGGAGTCCATGTGGCCCAAAAGCTCCAGATAAATGAATTCAGGTGCTTTCTAAAAAACAACCTTTTGCTCATACGGGTAAAATCTCTCTGAATCCACGCCTGTGTTGCGGATGACGTAGCTGAAGGCTTTGGAGATGAAGCCTCCCCTGCAGCCATAGTTTCCATCCGTGGTGCTGCAGTCGATGAGGTTCTGTGGACTCAGAGGAACCAGTACACCGGTCCGTCTCTTCATTTGACCCTCCAGAGCTCCCATGGAGCTGAAGGCCCAGCAGGACCCACAGGAACCCTGGGTAAAAAAATATAAAAGGCAACATTCTTTAAACTACAGCTGTGTTTTTAAAAAAATAATGTGTAGCTGCTTCACACTCAAACGTTACTTGGTTTCGGACGGGGCTGACCAGACCATCTGTCCTCCAGTCCACACTCTGAGGCACTGGAAGGAAATGTAATTCCTTAAAGGTATAATTTCTTAAATGAACAGCCTCTTCCACCTTGAAGCCATTCAGCTTCTGGTTGATCTCCTCTGCTGTCTGAAGACAAAACACAGCTCACACACATGACAAAAAAACATACAGTCAGTACTTGGTTATTTTTGAACATTTACACAACACAACCGTAACATCTCAATGCAATGTTACCTCAATATTGTGTTTATTTTATTTGAAGTATTGAAGTAGGTTTGTGTCATGAGTGGCACTAATCTGATTTTTTATTTTATTCAGCCGTATCTATCTATATATCTAAGGGAAACTACGACACTCTGTCTGTGCTTCGGGATCTCTGAGTAAAGGCCATAATCCTGGATGTGTTAAAGGACTGCTGCCAGTTTCCTGTGGAGCTAATACGTCACTCCTTCAGTCTGCTCAGGCTCTCTCTCCGGCTTCCTGCCATCATCACACTCAAAATAAAACCCTCTTCTCCTTCCATCACCATGACACACATTAAAATCCTTCATCTTTTGGATAGTCCTATCATGCTGTATGTATACGAGTTTAAAGTTAAAAATATTTTAACTTGATTAATTTAATTAGTCGTGAGTATACAGCTTGGGATTATTTATTTAGTTAGTTTAAATGGATTTCACATGTTTAAGTAAAGTTTTTTTGGATTGACTAACTACCATCGACATTAAATTATTAACGATTGACTAACTACCATCGACATTAAATGATTAACTTTAAATAAAATGCATTATAATTATTATCATCATTTGCTGCTGTTGTTAAATCAGACTGGTACCATGTCAGAGAGGGGATTTAACCCCAGAGTGAAGCTGTGTTTCCCTGCTGCAGCTTCCTGGTTGTGTTTCAGCACTAAGTTCATGTTCTTTGTCCACACTGCTCTCCTGTAGCTGAACTCCGTCTGTGAGAAAAAAAACAAACCACAGAGTCTAAATATCTGTCCATGTCTACTGACGTCGGTAACAACACAGAAAACCTCCTGTACCTCGTTGTCGTAAACCTTGCTGTGTTTCATCTTCCACTCTTCCCATGTTGTATTTATAGCAGCTGAGGAGTGGGTAACGACTACGAACTGAAGTAAAACTACAAAAAAGACGTGCAACCTGAAAAAGAAAAAAAGAGAACAAAAAACCAACATATCTCTTCACCACGTCAGACTCTGAGGCTGTATTCACTACATGTCACAAAAATCATCAAAACAATCAAATAACACTTCTTTTCTTTTTACCTTCCCGCAGAATAATCCAACATCTTCATCTTTGGCCTTCTGATCGAAGTAGCTCTGCCTCAGACAGAGCACTCGACCGTAGTACTGAGAGAAAGGAAGGAAGTTCACTCTTTACACACACGTCGTGTTGTTGATCAGTGGGTCTGCTCTTTGACTCATCATGTGAATCTAATCTACAGCCAGCTGCTGTGGCCTGAAATGCTGTGACGGTAAGAGATGTGAAAGTGTTGCATAACCAAAAAAAACAACCCAAATGTCGATGAAACGCTCTGACGAAAGTACAAGGTGTTTCACTGGGTTAGTTAAAAACACAATTTCTGACTAAATGACTAAATGAAACTGAAAAGTCCTTCTGGTTTGGTGTTAAACAGCCAGTTTATTTGTGCTGCTGTGGTTGGTGGTTTGCTGCTCTCTTCCTCTTGGCCAACATGTACTGCAGTCCTGTGGAAGTTCTTGCTTAAAAATACCCTGGATAGAAAAAAAGTACAACAGTTTCTATTAAATAATAATGTTGGGTTTTTTTAGTTTTTTTTTAAGTACAACACTCCACTGTGAACCCACCACTAAAATGTGACTGTTCCTTTTCCTCCATATCCCAGCTCCTCTCCACAAATCCTGGAATTACCCCGAGCTGCTGATGAAACCAAATCTGACCAGCAGGGGGGTTTGGTGCAAGGCTGAACTTTGATTTGGAGGAGGCTGTGATTGGGTATTCACCTAATCTTTGCTCCTCCTGATTCCGGAGTTGGACAGAGATCTGCTGATGGACTGAGTTAGGCTGAGGAAGCAGATGGTGAGTTCCTGACTCAGCAGTGATGCATCTTTCTTTAGATAAGATCAAATAAACTACACAAAAACACACACACACACAAATTGATCTGTAATGAAGTCATTAGAAAGTAACAGTTTCAAACTTTACACAGGAACAAGTAGAAATATTCAATAGATATAAGTGAGTCTGGAATTTAATGATAATTGTGATGTAAGACATTTGTTAATATTAATTATTGCACCACTGAGATGTGGAGCGATTATCTCAGAGATTTTCTCAGTCCAAACACAGTCAGTTCTAAAGGTTGGTTAATTTGTTTCAGACTTTTTTTTTTTTTTGACAGGTTTTGTCGTTGGGAATTATTTATCTTATTATCATTAGAGATTAAGTACATTTTTATTTTGTAAGTGTCAGTCCTTAAATTCATTCCCATCTGGTGTTTCCCCTGAATCTCAGTGTTTGGCTGACCTGTGCCTTCCTCCTGTCACCCTTCCAGTGTGTCATACTGGATCAAGTCCAGAAGCAAGTGCATATAAACTCCCAGCATGCTCAGAGAACACACACCTCCGGAGCCAGATTGTTGTTGTTTGCCACGAGGAGCTGAGCCGCAGCGTCAACACTGCGAGGACAGGAGCCACGGTCTGCTCTGCCTCTTCACGTCCTCTTCACATCCTCCATTTACAGACAGAGCAACCTGACGTAGACACTGCTGTGAGGACGGCGCCCCAACACTGAGAACGAGGCGAGTTCCACTTCATTTATTTTTCCCATTTTACTCATAAATTTTATCACTCTTGAGCAGTGAAGATTTCCATTATTCTACAGCTTTTCCGGAGGAGTCAGGAGTCTCCATCATTCTGTGCTCAGGGGAGCTGCTGTCATCACCGGCAGACAGAAGAAATATATTCTGCAAGTATTTATAGAAACTATTGAATCAGGACCAGGAGAATAACTTTCACTGAAATATATGGATATCTGAGGTGTTCTCTTAAAGTAAGACCTTCTTTTACTTCACTGTTCTGCACAGTGTCAGATCAACTCAGTTATGTCAAGATAAAATGTCAGGAAAATGAAACACATACATGGATAGAATATGACATTTTAATTTTTTTAGTGTCAAGTCAGAGCTCGGAGGCCATCAATGAACATAATGGGGAGGAGAAAAACAAAATAGAAATGACTGCTATTTAATAAAACAACAACAACAACAATGACATATTATAGGCAGATACTAGGTCTCTTTTTGTTTTGCAGTAAACTCTGTCTTCATTTGTCCTAGTCTTTCAGTCCTAATGTACGCCTATGATTTTTTTAAATAAACAATAGAACACACGGATAAACATTTTAAAAGATATTGTCCGTCTTTTTGACACGTAATTCGTGCTTTTGCTTCTTTTTTGTTAACAGTTTGTGGCGTAAACCTTCACCGTTGAGATGCTCAGACATGAGAACACGATCAACGACTGGACGTAATTGTCTCATATTTGCCGCCGCCTTGTGGTGAGGTAGGGAACCAACCAAATAAATAATTCGAAAAAAAGAAATTAATATGAAATTTGAATATCCTTAAGACTTTAAAAGGCAGTTCAAAGTTTTTTTTTATGTACAGGCCTGAGACCAGAAACAAAAAAAAACAATGTTCCATCTCTACCTACAGGAGCTGCTGATTTAAGCTAACTAAATTTACCAGTAAAATAACATTAGTTAGCATTATTGCATGTGTGTTTTGTGCTGAATATATTAATAATCCAGAAGTTATATACAATTTCACTATAAAAACCTGAACTATCCCTTTAAACAGACTGTGCCTCCATTTGTTTTTACAAACACATCAGCATCCAGTTGAACAAACTTCAAATTCAAAATGTCAGGCAGACCTTGGAGCTAAATGTCAAAGAGGTCTTCAAAATCAGTCTGCTTTCACAGCAATCACTGCATGTAAACAAGAAATCTGTGCTCTGCACTCATTTTAACCTTACCAGAACACAGGTGGTGTTTACAACACTTTTTTCCCAAATCAGCATTTCATTCTGTGACACTGGCACAGCTTTGCCTTTTCACGTTCCTTCCTGTTAATGTGCTCAAAGACAGAGCTGTCCAGTTATTTATTCACAACAGTGAACAACACGACAGTGAGTCGTCCATAAGGAGCTAAGCTCTGCTGCTGGACTGATGTTGATCTTATGGAGGTCAGAGATTTAATTAATAGGAATTTAAAAGAGCAGTTTGGAAGTTTACACGCCTTTTAATCTGAATCAGAGTTTCTCTGGCTCACAAAACAGACACAGAGTCAGAGATAAAAAAAATTGTTACGTTTTCTACAACGTAACTTTCTTCATCTTTTTTCTAGCACAACGTTTCGACCTGATTACCCATGTTTATTCTTGGCTTCTGTACATGTATTAATGGGCCAAAACACAGTGATATTTTTATCTAATATTTCTTCTGTCATATTTTTACAGGATATTTAGTCTCCAGGACAGGAGCCTCCATCCACAGCTGTTTGGTTTCATAAAGATACTTCCTGTTTAGTGAGAGGTGAGAGAAAACTACAAGAATATTTAGAAGTTTTTAATGGACAGTGAAGGCATCACTGTCCAATAATAATGTAATGTAATATAACATAAGATTTCATTAGAATTATCCTCAGATCGTGAATAGTTTTTTTAAGTTGAAAGTTTCCTTGATTTTTCTTCAATAATTATTTGTTGGGTTTTTTTTTACGTTTAGGGGCATCTACAGATGTTTGAGAGAATAGTTCTCCATCTACGGCTGCTCTGGGCACTTCTCTTCCTGTTGTCAGTATCATTAGCAGCAGAAACCCACCCACTGTGCCCCCAGTCCTGCCGCTGTGACGCTGAACTGCTGGAGGTGAATTGCTCTCTCAGCCAACTCAGCACTGTGCCCAGTGATCTCTCAAGAGATGCTATAATACTAAACCTGACCCATAATAAGATCAAAACGCTGCTGCATCAGCAGTTTCAGAGTCTCAGACAACTTTTACACTTGGATTTAAATGATAACCTCTTGGAGGTTGTTGAGCTGGACGCCTTCCTGGGTTTGGAGAGTCTGCTAACGCTGCGTCTGGCCCGCAATCGCCTTAAGATCATTCCAGTTGGAGCATTTGCTGGCTTGCTGAGCCTGCAGTTTCTGGACATTAGCAGCAATGATATTCTCGTTTTCTTAGATTTTACCTTCCAGGACCTGCCAGCCCTGCAGCACTTGAATGCGGCCGACAACCAACTGGTTTTCGTCTCAAGACACGCGTTCACGGGACTAAACAGCCTGCAGGAGCTGCATTTGGATGCTTGTAACCTCACTGCTGTTCCAACAGAATCATTTTCACAGCTAACAACACTGAGGAGCCTTCATTTTCACTGCCTCAGTCTCACCTCACTGCCAAATTATGCTTTCCATTATCTGGTGCAACTCAAAGAGCTCATTATCTCCCACTGCCCCTGGCTGGACGCTCTCTCTGGAAACAGCCTCTTAAGTTTGAACCTCACCTCCCTCACCATTACACATGGAAACCTCAGTGTGATGCCTTACCTTCCTTTACATCATCTCGTCTATCTCGTATCTCTTGACCTTTCCTTTAATCCAATCACTTCCATTCAGGGGAACCTGCTTGGAGACTTGCTTCGGCTGCAGGAGCTCCATCTGGTGGGGGGATCCCTGCTGAGAATTGAAACTAGAGCATTTAGAGGGCTGGTCAATTTCAGGTTGTTGAATGTATCTAGAAACCGTCTCACCACTCTAGAGTCTGGTGCTTTTCAGTCACTAACGCCCCTTAAGACTCTAATACTTGACAACAACCCACTGGCGTGTGACTGCCGTTTGCTGTGGATGGTGCAACGACGCGTGTACCTTGACTTTGGGAGAAATCTGCCGATGTGCAGCAGCTCACTCCACCTGGAGGACTGGAGTTTTCTAGAATTTTCTGACACAGAGCTCTCAGGGCTGCTCACCTGTCAGCAGCCTCAGATTCTGAACTGCAAACCTCAAAGGGTGAAAGTTAATCAGGGACAGACGGTGGTATTTGACTGCATTGCAGAAGGAGACCCGACGCCATCTCTGAGCTGGTTTAATCCACAGCTGAGGCCTGTGTCATCCACAGGTAGAATATGGGTTCTCACTAACGGCTCATTGGAGGTTCGCTACGCTCAGCCTCAAGACAGTGGTACTTATTACTGTTTGGCATCTAATGCAGCAGGAAATGACAGTCTAAAGGTCAGCCTTCAGGTCAGGCCTTTTCTAACTTCTCGTAAAAGCACTTTTCATCTTGGTGGTTGGATTCCATCTTCCTCTCCAGATGTGAATGGAAATCATGAACTCACATTTGATTTCAAGACGTTACTGATAGCAGCATCCATTGGTTTTCTGTCTTTTTTCAGCTCTGTGAGTGTTTGTTTTATTTTCATGTTCCTCTGGAGCAAAAGCAAAGGACACATTAAGCACACAGCCACCATCAAGTATGTGCCACACAGTACTGTGTCCACTAGTGCCAGAGGAAATGGGAACTATATGGAGACAAGCAGGTTTACCATGAAATTATTATAGGTTGACAAGTAAAATGTCTATTTTTATTTTTTAATATCAATCTGTGTGCAATTAAGGCCAAGGTTAACACAGACATTTACACTAAATGTTTTAAATTGCAGATTAGGATAACACAATTTGCTGCTTTTATTTTTTGTGCACAAAACTATTACCATGCTTAAAAAAACTCATATCATCATCACATGTAGTATTTGATGCACACCAGATTTAAAGTTTTTTTAAGTAAATGTTTACATATCTATAATAGTGAAATTTAAAATAAATGAAGAGAAAAACACTATTATTACACTAATACACTACCCACTAATACTATGGTTTAGGCTCTTATGTGTTTGGAAAAAAAATGTAATAACCAGTTAAAAAAACTATTTACCTATTTACTAGTAAACTTCTGTTAATGTAATGTGCAATATAGTGTGCAACTATGTATTAACATGTTTCTAGTAAGTTAGAATGAGCCATGAATGAGCCTGTATTTTTATATAATAAATATAATAAAAGTTATGATTAATTAAAACAATGTTGATGTCAATGTTCTGTTTTTAAATTTAAAAAAATGTTTTTAATTAAAAGTGTAAAAGTTCAGGTTGAGGGGCTGAAGCTCACACTGACTCACTGACTGATCCAAAAGCAAGAGAAGTGCTAGCTTTTGTATTGTGTAACACACCTTTAGGAAAATCTAATCATCTTGCATCAGAAAAGGTTACGTTTATAAAAATAACAACAACAATACCTCCAGGAAAAAAAGCATAAAACCATAAGCAGGAAGAATAAATGAAAGCGTTAATTAAAGCTGCCACAAGGTGGTACAGACACGTAAAGGTGTTACTATGGCACTGCATTTACTCTTTGAGCATCTCTAGTTTCCATGGTGATAGATATGCACTAAGTCAGTGATATAGTGATATAGTGAAAAAATTAATAACCATGTTAAAACTTGAATACAAATCTTATTTATTTGTTATCCAGGGTTGTACATAATTGAGAAAAAGAAAAAACAGGTTATCATTTTAATCTCCCCTTCACCCGGAAGTAGGTCAACACCTACCCCGGAAATGTTTCAGCCCTGAGCTCACGGACAATGCCTGTTGTGTTTTTGGCTTATAGTTTTCAGTTGAATTTTTCTACATTTATGTGGCTTAATGTTGATAAACGCAATATAACTTTATGCCACAAATATTAAATTTCTCAAGTTACGCTTGGATACAAACCAAGCGAATAAAAACGGCAGAGCGCTACATCAAGTTAGCGGAGCTAACGGCTAAACAAACAAACAGACGGTAGCTGTCTTCAGAAGTTTGAATTAAAATGAGTTTAGCGGGAAGTCGAGAACCCAGGAAGACTGCGGGGAACCGCATGTTCAAATTATTAGATGCTGAAGAAGAGGACGAATTCTACAAGACCACGTACGGAGGTTTTAACGATGTGAGTAACCGAATTTACCGCTAGAGAATGGTGCTAACGTGGCTACCAGTCCCTTGAGATAAACCGATTTGTTGAATATTTGTTATGTGATAATATTTGAATGTTTTACTCTGTGTATTCGTGTTGTGCTCCTAGATCACGATCATGCTAAAAAATCCCAGTATCAAAGGTACCTGAAGTGACGGTCATTAGTGTAATTAATGCTTTAACAGCGTCTTTTAGGTACCAAAAACAATTATTAAAGAATATTTCTTGTCACTTCATGTCACTTGAATAAATGCACTTAGATTTCACTGGCATGTAAAAAAGACACATCTCTAATAGTATATATAACAAATCTGACAACTAAAATTTTGTTGTGGATTGTGTCCAATGAACCGGAAGCTTAACATCACGAATATTGGGACCTTCATAAGTGAATTTCTTCACATTGCATTTAGTTTATAGCATTCTTTGTTCATATTTAAAAGTTGTTTTACTATTTATCTATATTAATATTGTTGCTGTTGCTTGGATGTCCTTAGTTGACTCTCCTGTTATATGTACCACTCTGAGCTTTATCGTTTACTGTCTCAGTTTACAGGATACTGATTGTCATTGTATATAAAGAACAACATCTAGTGAGGCTGACTGTCTTAATTAGGAACAGCACCAGCAACTGAAATGTTACCATTGGAAACACAACATTTAAGTCCCAAACAAACTGTCATCGAGGTGTTATTTTATCACTCTAAAATACGTCTAATTCAAAAAATGCATTTAATTATTTTTGTATTATTCAGGCAGTGAGATCTACTACTGCAATTTAATTCCAAAAATACTCAAAATAGGCGCAGTCTGGAGCAGTGGTCTGCCCACATATATAAAGCCACTTTAAAACAGTCACCTTTACCACATTAATGTTGTTAATTTAACAAAATCAGACATCAGTGTTCTGTTGTGTTCCATCTTCACAGGTGACAAATCGTTGAACGCGTTATATATGTGTTTCAGAAGACAGAATAGGACATCATGTACTACTGTGTAGAGACTTTCATGTAGTTTTCTCATTTCATATTCAGGCCAGTTTTCTTTAAACAGCTGTAGGATCAATGGTCAGCTTGTGTAGGCAGATCGTTCTGACAGTTCTGACGTTGGTCTCGGCTGAAAATGACAAAAATAGATCCATATATATATCAAATAAACACAGACATGTTTAAGACGCTTGAGTCATTTCTCCTGTTCTTTTGGAAAGCTGTGATTTTTATTTTCACATCCTTAATTTAGATGCTACTTTGACCAATGAGGATGTGCCTGTGTGTGTGTGCACATCAGTTTGCGTATGTGTGCATGCACGTTATTAGAGAGTGAGTCAATTTGCTGCTTAAGTGTTGCACTTTGCCTTGTTTACTGCTGTGTCTGAGCATGATTTGCATAAAAGATAAATTATTAATGTTTCTGGTTTTCCTTTTTTTTAAACATGATGCTTGAAGCTGCGTTGAACACAAAGCTGAGAAGAGATGTTGTTTCTATTATACTGTTGTATGCCTGTAGTTCTGGGGGTGTATGTTTCCCAATAATTAATTTTGGTTGGATTAAACATATATGAAATGTAAGAAATTATATCCATGGAATATTCTGAACAACTGAAGCAATTCTGTTTTTATGTATTTCTGTTGTTGTTCTTCCAGGAATCTGGAGATGATGAGTATCATGGCGAACACTCTGACACTGAGGATGAAGTTGATAGCGACTTTGACATTGATGAAGGAGATGAGCCTGACAGCGACCAAGAGGAGGACGCCCCTCGACGCAAAAGTCGAGTTGTGACTAAAGCTTATAAGGTAAAAATACTTCATTACTGCATCGATAGTTTGATCTCCAGAAGAATGCTTTAAAAAACAGTGCAGCACATTTACTTTTAGTGTTCTTTTTTCCTCTGAAATGGAATTGATTAACATTTACTGGAAATGCAAGCCTGTGTTGTCACGGCAATATTTGTTCTTCTCAGCATGTGTATTCATAAACCTCCACGTATGAACCTCTTACAGTTACTGTTGAAACTGTGGCTGCTGAATTTTGTTCTTTTAACTGTAGCCAAGGGAGCAGACGGGCATTTGAATAAGTTTTGGCGCTGCACTTCACAATTAGATCACGTTGTTATTTTTGACTTGCTATAAGAAAAGTTTGACTAATTATGCTGTTTTTTCACGCATTTGTTTTTTTCCCTCATTAAGGAACCTATAAAAGTGGCAAAACCCAAACCCAAAAAACCTGAAGAACAGAAAAAGACAGAGAAAACTAAAGTGGAACTGAAAAGAAGGATTCCACAGGAATTCCATGATTTTAATGAGAGTAAGTTTTTTGCAAAATATAATGACTTCTGATTGTGTCCCATGTAAAAAAAAATCTGTATTTTACTTGTGACACGTGCCTCCCTCGGACTTCAGCCCGGAAGTCTGTGCGACAGTCCACCAGTGAACATACACGCAAGACCAACCTCCGCTTACAGGAACGTCAGGATGCTCCACGGAGAAGGAGAGGAGCTCATCGTGATCAGCCTCTCACACAGGAAGAACTGCTGGCTGAGGCCAAGATCACAGCCGAGATTAACATCAGATCATTGGGTGAGTGCAGGGTGGGGCTGAAATGGTTTCTGTTTCATTTATATTCATTAATATTATATTAACATCTATATATTATACTTTATTACATACAACTGTATTGCCTTTCCTGAAATGTTGGATCAGTTTGAATAACATAAAAATAACCTGACCTTTTTGTAATGATATCAAATTTCAACACTGTCTAAAATCAGTATTTAGATTCTGTCTATTTTAGAACAGATATAATTAATGTGAATTCATTAAATTAGACAATAAATATCCAATATAAAACTGAAAAATTCAGGGAATGGTAGAATACTCTTTGTCCAAATTTGAATGTTGTTCATGTTCAATATACATTTAAGACAAAGAATGACATAGTCATATTGCTGTTGGTAGAGAACTATGAACGCCTGGAGGCAGACAAGAAGAAGCAAGTCCACAAGAAACGGCGTTTTGAGGGACCGACCATCCGTTACCACTCGGTCCTGATGCCCATCGTCTCCCACTCTGTACTGAAGGAAGAAAATGTGGATGTTGAAGGGTGTGTAAGCTCTCACACTATCACACTCTACCAGTAAATGTTTTTTCATTTTGGCTAGAAGAAAAATTACTTGTCTGTCCTTGTAATGTATTTGTCAGGTTGGATCAGGACCTTCCTCAAACCGCTCCCCAAAATCCCACCACGCCTTCCCAGCAGCCCACTGGAGGCTTGTGTTCTCGTACCTACATAACCTTCAGCGACGACGAGGCATTTGACGTGGCCTTTCGTCCCGCTGCACAATCCACTCCTCAGCTTCCTGTCCAGGAGGTTTGTCCCGTCACCCACAAGGCCGCGCTGTACAGAGACCCGGTCACTGACATACCGTACGCAAATGCACAAGCATTCCGCATCATCAGGGAAGCGTACCGGAAATATGTGGCGGCTCACGGGTTCCCTAACACATCAGGTGGAATGACAGGACTGGACTCCTCTGCAGCCAAAGGTGCTCGACACAAGATGCTGGTAAAGCAGAGTGCAGTCACAACATAGATCAGTTCAGCAACAACAACAAGGAACAGTTGACTTTTATCTCATAAATCACAGACTTTAATGGTTGTGTTCCAGTTGTGTTCAAGACAAAATGTTGCAGGTATTTGAAGTATTTGTACACTAACAATACTATACCTCAGTACCTCAGCCTACACACGTTCAAGCAAAGTAAATGAAAAGCTCAGCATGGTTTCACGTAAGTTCCTGTTAAAATAACTGACCTTTGGCTAGTGAAATGAGACTAACAGAAAAATGACCTTTTATTTCTGTGACTTGAGTTAAAAGTTGATTTTAAGGTGGACCTGGTTCTCGGCTCCCTTTGTTCACACTGTGCACTCCAGAGGGTGCAGTGTCTCACTGTTGTACCAAAGGCAACTTATAAGTGCAGGTAAGCAAACTGAGCTATTTTTGTTCTCTGTTGGGCTCTGTAAGACTCTAGGTGTTTTCTGAGTTTGTTTTGATGTCTAAAAAAAAGTCCATCTGTAAAAGTAACCTCAGACTTTTAATTTACATGCTGTTTTGACAAATACTTTTTCAGTTAAGTTTCTTGTAGAATATACAAACGTCTGAACTCATAACTAAAATAAACATTTTTATCATTTTGTAATTAATGTTGACTTTCCATGCTCAAAATTCAGAATCAACGCTCCAACAAAAACATGTTTATCTATCCGTCAACCTCCTAAAGCATGTTTCTGTATTACCAGGAAACAATCAGAGAAAAACAAACAATGACACTGAACATCATCATTGGCCATTTGACCTCTCCATTCAATCAACAACAAAGATTGCGCTACAGTAGCTTCTGGTCATCTCAACCTCTGACTGTTACATAAAAACCTCCTGGGAAACAGAATAAGTAAAGGTTAAGTCAACAGCTTTCAGCTCTTTTAATTGACAACAGTAAAATAAAACCCAGCATATCTGTGATAAGAGAATGTAGAGCTGTGCTCAGGGCTAAGGAGGATGACAGCGACGAATGAAGCTGACCTTGAATTCTTCTCAGGCATCCGTCCTGCTGTGCTCGCTGTCATGTCAGTAAAGCCTCCAGCAGATGGTTGAAGCAGATTTCTTTTTTCCTCTACCTTTGCAGGAAGGCTCCCAAAACTCTGATTTTTCTGTTTCTGCCAAAGGATTGTGTTTCTCTTGAGCTGATTATCTCCTCCTGTGCTTGAAATGTCCTGATGACGTTCTGCAGAGCATCTCGCAAACGAGACAGTTGTCTTCATTAAAAGTTACCAGGAAGACAAGGTCAGTGACTGTACATGTTTAGTTATTACACAAATTTAAAGGAGAAGAAATTCCCAGGAGGGGGTGGGCTAGTCTAAATGGCAGTACATCAGTAGGGTTGTATTTTTTTTTTTCATTTTTCATTTTTCACAAAAAAAAAACTCCTGATCCATTTAGTCTAGGCTAGGCTTAGCATGTATCTGTAAACAATACTTACCTTTATTTTTCTGCATCATAAATGTTTTTTTATTTTTTAAACTCCTTGCTGATGTTATAGTTAGAAGGCTCAAAATAATTAAAAACAGATTCAACCACATCAGAATCATCAAAACTAACATATGATTCACTCTGAGCACTCAGTGCAGCTGAACACTGCAGGCTACATGCGAGCAGGCTACGTGGCAGCTTGTGTCCCTGTCATTAATTCCAATAGTTTCACCACGATTTTATGGTGAAGCTGAAACTGGAAGCAGGTAATATTCACAGAGGTAGCTTCTATTTTGTGCACCAAGTGTTTCAAACTTGGCTTGAGGAGAATCAAAGCAGTAGAGTCCCACATGAACAGCGTGAAGCACAACGACTGCCAAATCAACCTGCGGCAGCTACTGATGATTCATGAAGTAAATGTTCTTTTGTGTTTTATTTTCCATGTGTTTGAATCTGGTTATGAAAGTACTTTCCAACATCCTGACATTTTCATGCAGGTTATAAGTGGCTCTGACAGAGTTTTTAAAGTCCAAGCCTTGAGTTGCCTTAATCTGCAGTAGCTTTGATTGACTCCTTAGTCCAAAGATGATGCACAGAAGCAGGTTGTTAGCTGGTGTGAAAAACATCCACCAGAATTCTACAAAGAAGGATGTTGCAGATGAAAACACATGGAGGATATATAAGTAAATAACTTTGATACTTGCAGACATTAATATATATTTTTAAATTTTCTTTTTGACTTTTTTGACTCACACTTGCATCTGTTATTACTAGACGAAAGCAGTAATGTCTCAAAATGTGTTTGAGTAAAAAGTCAGCAGTCCAGTGTATTCTCTGGGATTGACTCCAACTCTGCCCTAAACCCTTAACTTGATAAAGCAGTGAAACGAGAACAGTGCAAACAAGACTCTCAGAGAAAGGGCTTAATTGTGAGTAGTGTTGTTTATATATAATCATTAGGCTGTGCAGCCAGTTTTGTTATCACATGTCATGTTTAAGACAAAAGTTGTCTAGTTCCGCTGTAAAAATAGAGCCAGTAAGAAGTGTGTCCCAAACCCACACTCCGCACTTAATGTAAGCAGCAGGGTTTCCCATAATAAACCAGGCAGCTCTAAAATGCTGCGGCTAAAAATGGAACTCCTTCCCTGCACAGTCACCCATATGGTCTCTGTCATGATGCAAACTTCACTAGTGATGTGAAGAGCAGAGGCGGACCAGCCGTCTGGAAGTTGTCCTGGCACAGTCTGAAAACTCACCTTCACTGCTCCTGTGTGACCTTTTGACAGCTTTTACCCAAGGTCCATGGTGACAGTCACACTGTCTTTAGGAATCCTGTCACTCTCCAGCAATCTGGCGATACAGATCCACTGTCTTCATCTGCAATCCATCATCTGGACCAAGTGCCTTCCCACACTTCATCCTCCCCCCACTTCCTCCTGACTAATCCCCTGTACTTCCGGATTCATCATCTTGATCCGTCTTTCTTTGCCTTTGTTTCACTCTCCAAATTCAAACTAGTTTCTGAAATTATACTTTGTTAGTTATTTCATTTTACTCACTTCTTCTTTTTCTTTCGGCTTTGTCCCTTTTTTTTTCAGGGGTTGCCACAGCGAATCATTGATTTCCATCTCTCCCTGTTCTCTGAATCTTCTATTTCATTTTACTTACTTAATGTTCTTTATCAGCCTATACGTTTTGTCCTGTTTAACAAACTGAACTGATATTATTAGAATTACCTTCAAATTGGACATGACCCTAATTACAACATCTATTAATCTTTAGCCACTGAACCTTTTTTTTTTTCGTTTGAAAATGACCACAAACCAGAATGTTTCTCCAGATTTCTATACAGAAGAACCAGTGTTGATGGGTGGGGGGGGCATGGTGAGATCAGTAGGTTGTGAAGTGGACTTTCAGCCAGAATACTCAGAATCAAATTCAGCCAAGTTCCTGGGCATCCATCCATCTTCTAACACTTAGGCCTGTGGAGGGTCACAGGGGAAGCTGGACCCAATCCCAGCGATCCCTGAACAGGTTAGCACCGTGTCCCTGTGAAGATAGCCCCACTGTGGACCAGTGTAAGGACTGGAATAATGCGGAAAAACAAAACGTTCTTACCTTCAGTAAGATTTTTTTTTTTTTAACTTCTGCTAAATCTTTTGGGTGATTTTGAAGAGAAGCCTGATTAGAATCAATTGTTTTCATTTGGAACCAAGACGTCTCTCTTTTGTCAGTGAGCGATCTGTATCTGCACAATAACTGAAGACAAAAATGTCAAGAAAGTCTTAAAATTGGCAAAAGTTACTTTTGTAGAGTTGGTGGTTCAACTTACAGTTTTGAGAAGACAACGTTATGTCCAGAGTGGGATGAAAGGGCCTTAAAAGGACGGCTAAAAAAAGGAGTCGTGGGTGGTTGCGAAGACTCATTGTCTCAGACAATTTCATTCGATTTTTATGGTATAACACTGATTCTAATTTAGCACCGACCGTACACTCTGGTCTGCACAAATTGTCGTTTTAACAGGAACAGTCCGAGACAAAGTGTGTTGTTATTCCACAAGAAAAGCCAGCAGATAAAGAATTGTCATAGTGTCAACATAGATTCACACCAAGGGTTTGAAACACCACGTTGATAGAAGTCATTTGTTTCATCACGTCTTCCCAATTCTACCAAATTTAATATTTGTTCTCTGAAAGCGACGACTGCCCACATGCTGTGTTGTTTGATAAGGGAAGGAAGAAGAAGAAGAGAAATGCATCAATTAGAAAAAAATAACAAGTTACCCCCTAAAGCGATGGTGATGAATTCAGAGTCTCTGGTGGAAAGATGGATGAAATGCATTTGCAACAGCAGCGTTTTCAAAGGCATTAAACGTAGCATTTCATCTGTCACAACAGAATACAGAAAGCTTTGTCTCCCACATAGTGCACAGTGCATATGGTACAGATTGAACAGTTTTCAGAATAGGAAGAGGGGGAACTGCATTATCACCCGTTCTAGTGTGGTAGTTGCTATGGAGACGAGTGTAGGTGGTGTACTGTGTGCTGTACTCCTTCCCTCATCCTCTTCCCTGGTCTCTGCTCTGCTACATCCGCAAGATCCGTGCAACTTTCATCCCTTCTTCTTTCTTCAGTCTTTCAGCCTGTTTGTGTTTGAACATGTTAGATTTGTTTGTTATTAGTCATTTTTTCCCCTACCTGTCAGTCGCCTGTCAGTTAGATTTGTTTGTTATTAGTCATTTTTCCCCTACCTGTCATTTCATATAGTCGCCTGTCAATTTCACTGAAACATTGGAGTAAAATGTAGCTGTGAGGACATAGTAAATCCTCCTAACTGTTCAGCTCTGAGTTCATTGCAGTAAACAAACTGGGGCCATCTGTATACAATAATTTAATTTTGCAGTAATCGTTGTGCACAAATATTTTCCATTGAAAATCCTGAAGAAAATGATGGTTTGCTTAGCATTGACGTTCTTCTACAGTATGCCCTGTCAATCCATGCTTCCAGCGATTTTGTATTAGTTTCCATGGAAATAAAGAGTGTGTGTTTAAGTGTGTGCGCGCGCGCGCGTGTGTGTGAGAGAGAAAGACTGGGAGTTAAAAAAAGAAATCTTTCTGTTTTCTACACATATTTTTGTTCAAGGTCACTTCAGCCCGATGTGGACCAAATTGTCCCACTAGTTGTCGTTATGCTGCTCAGCTGTTTCTAAGCAAACCTATTAGACCGGGATTCTCTTCATACTATGTTGTCAGTATCATTTTAGGTGCTCTACAGCATAATGTGCATGTTTAACATTGAAATACCTGGCTGAATGTGACACCTAGTAATTATCCAGTTTCCAATAATAAATCAAAATAATTAGCATAAAGTATTTATGTAACATAAATAACAAACACAAAAATTGAACCTTTTCCAAATGCTATTACAAACGCACTTCTCCACCTGTGATTTGGTCGTGCTGTTATTTGTTTATATTAGTGACCAAAATAAAAGCAAGTGCAGGTATTTAAAATCTAAATGAGTCACACTGTGACACACTGCTAGGTGTCTGCGAAAACGAGCATTGTGAAGGACTGGTCCTGTTAGGGCTGTTTTTTTTTTCTTAAATAATACTCACATCTGTATGTAGGAGAAATATTTAATTTAATAATTATTTGTACCTAATGTGAAGCCATTCCACCGTAGCCAGGCAAAAATGATTATTTAGACATTAGGTTTGCTTATTGTTTAATTATTATACCGAAATAGCGGCAAAAGAGCTAAAAGCTACAAAATCCTGTCGTCCAACAAGGAAAAAATATAGTATGTTTTTGACCTTCATGAACTTAACAGACCTTTAACTTTATTATTATTATTGACTTATTGATAAAATCTCTCATACTGTGCTTGGAGTGGCGTTGTTAATCTCACAAAGGAGTCAAAATTGTCTCTAGCACAAAAAAAGGTCAAAAAGTTGAACCTGCTAAAACCTCTAGAACAGACTTAAACAGTAGTTTTGCCACAAACTTATAACAGTGAACCTGCAGCGACAAAAGGGCCCCGGGGATCTTGTTAGCAGGAGGTAGTAGTTGCCAACTGACTAAGAATAAGATGTTGTTTTTGTTTTAATTTTTTTGTTTTACCCCCTTTTTTTAGCCACTTTCTATCAATGCACTTTACTTAAATGTCTTGGTGAACTCTAAGCAACACAATTTATATGGTAATCCAGGTACGGCCTCGCATTTAGAATTTATTCAAAGCAAATCTCAAAGGGTTCCAAACAGGACTGTAAGAATATTTTTGTATAAGGTCAAGATTAACCCTTCACATTCTTCCTAGTTTTTTGGGGTGAGATGATACTTTTGATGGATTTTTGATACTTTTTTGCTTGATGCTAAAATGTTTGATGCTTGAAAAATCACAAAAAAATATGATTTCAGTTAAAGAAAACATCTTAAATGGTTTAAATGCAGTGAAAAATGAAAGCAAACAATAACTAAATTACCGTCGGTAGAAGAGTTTGTAAATATGTTAATGTAATTTTGCATATTCGACCAAAAAAGTGGCAAAACGTTTTTTTACTTCATTGTAACCATTGATTTCTGTTTAATAACTTTAAACATGTTCATAAGATATGGACACTTTATTTAATAATTGTCCCCTTGAGTTTGTTTTGATGGTTTATTTGGTAACATAGAAAATTGCAGAATATTTGTTCCTTAAAAACAGTCACCTGAATGTATTTTCTCCACCCATGTTTACTTCACCGACATTTAATGCAGCATCACCACCCCACGTGATCAGGAGTTAACTCCAGCGAACTTTGCAGTTTATGTGATAATTACACCGGTTCTCCTCTCATATTTGGGTGTTTGACTCCCAACTCCAGAGATGGGGAGCGCAGGGCGGACTCTCCCTCTCGACTCCTCTCATCCTCCTCCTCCTCTTCTTCTCCTCCTGCTGCTGTTTTGAAGGCGTTGATTTTCCTTTCTGTCTATCTCGCGTACAATCTCCGCCCTCGGGGGAGAGACTACTACGTGTATCGAGCGCTCTGGTCATCTAACACTGATGGCAATTCCAAATCACCTGGCACGATTCTGAAAGGATCGGACGGCGAGGGACAAACAACAACGGACATCGGTGTCAATTTGGCACCGAAATTACCCTTTTCCTCCCGGTTCTGTGGAAAATATAGAGACGTCGTTATGTTACGGAAAGCGAACCGGAATCATCGGACGGAGAAATAGACCGTTAGTAAGAAAAAAACCCCGTGAATTAATCACTCCTTCGTCAGCTGCTGCAGAGACTGCTGGCTTCGCCTCCTGGGATGTTTATTTAGACGCTTCTGGTGCGCACAGTGTGCACAGCAGGTATGCGTGCTGCTCATAGTTGGCAGGAGCCACAGGCTTCACCTTCGTTCTATCATCAGTGCTAATCATTTCCAGCGTCTCTGCAGATTTTCTGCATATCAATGTGAGAGATAAATGAAGCACTAGCAGGAGTTTGGGAAATCACGATCAGCTCCGAGAAGGAAAGCCACACAGGAGCTGTTGGAAGTCAAGGAGCTCAGAGCAAACATAGAAAGATGATAACAGCCATCATTTTATTTAGAAGAAGAAAGTGTCATTATTACGGAAGGACTGTCATCTTTGAGTTCCTGGATTGCAACAGAGCTGGAGGACAGGAAGCGGAGGAAGAAGAGAAGGAGGAAAAACTGGGCAAAGCTGAAGATGCTCATGGACCAGCGTTGGACTGAGCTGTAGAAGTAGGTATCCTGGTGACAGCCAGCTTCACACGTTGTTGTTTTTGTTTTTTTCTTCTTCTCACGAGCATTTGCAGCATAGGTGAGAAAAAAACACACACTGAAGGATTTCTGGCCCTGATGATTGAAATACAACTGTCTGTCAAACACCACAGCACTGCTTTCACCTGGAATTATCTCCTCTCAGGTTTTTGCACAAACTGATTCTACCCAGGAGCACATCACACCAGGAGTCTTAGGCTGAGAGCTCCTCTGGAAGATCCTCTGGATTCAGCCTGAAACCTCGGATGTAACGAAGACATCAACATTTCATCACCAGGAAGTCCTACTCTTTTGGGTAAGTGTTGAACACACACTAAAAAACACCACAGAATTCACAGCATTTGCTCCATGTCACTGTCAAATATCGCAGCAGAGATGCTCACTAATGGCTGCTTGTGCACACTGCAGCCATATGAGGCTACAGTTTAACTTTTAATGCACCAGCAAGTGTCTAATGCAGCTAATGTTTGGTGTATGTAATTGGTTTATCTTGGAGACTAGTCCAGAAATCTTTTTTTTTTAAATTGACCAGACCGTGGACTGTATATTAGAAACGGTTGGCTTTAGACCAAGAAAATGTAATGCCATTGAAAAGGCAGTTCAACGAAGGTCATAGAAAATGATGTCAGTGAATGTTAGACCAGAATCTCTCCAGAAAACATTATGTGACATTAAGAAATTGGCAGCACATAATGGACTTTTTCTGGACTACGTGTGGCTTCATTTATTATATACAGTCTATGATGTCGCAGAATATGTTTATGGTCATTTATTTTTAGTTTCATGATGTATTTTAAGTCCATGCATCTCGTGCTCACCGTTACGAATTAATCTTTGGGTGAACTAATTAGCAGCTACATGTGGACTAAACTGGTTTGAGAAACGATTAATGTGTTTCATTTATCAGTTTATTTAACGGGACGTTAATTATTAAGGCTTCACAAATTATCTCCCTTCATGCACTGCATGTTTGATTAATGCCTGGTTTCTGTTATTGCAATGAATCCACTGATGTATTATTGTTGCTTATTAGCTGTTACTGATTGTCGGGAGGTAAATACATTCTTTTAACGACACAGAAGCAGAGATAGTTAGAGTGAGATAACATTAGACTTGATGTGTCCTTGTCATTTCGTTTGGCATCAATCACTTTTACTAATAACGGCCTGTAGATATATGCATACTTTGACCAGCAGTAACATCACTCTTGTTTGGAACTTCACTGAACCAACTTATGTTCATGTGATGTAAAGTTCCAGAACTCGGTGACATTGCTGGTAAAGCTGGAGATGGATTTTCTTCAATCTTCTCTTTTCACTCCGCTGTTGTTATTGAGCAAATTTCATCTGCAGTCAAAACATTCTGGACACCACTGATATACTGTAGGTGGCCACCATCTTCCCTGGTCTGTAGTCGACTATTTTAAAACAGTTCCCCATCTTAGGGAGAAGGCGAAAAACATTTTAAAGCAGTGCAGTGAGAGGAGCTTCATTTAATGAAATGTCTGATGCTGCACCTCTGATATAAAAACGGATCGCTCCAGTTCACTCTGACTCAGTGGGTCCTTGCAGGATTTCCTTGTCCTCCTCCATATGAGATCTCATCCATGTATTCATGGAGTTATCTTGTCGGTTCACTTATCCATTATTCTGCCTTCTGAACTGTGGTGGGAATCTGGCCTCATTGTCAACCTGCCACCATTGTCAGTCTGGAGCTTGACAGCCGGCAAAGAGCTGATTGTCCTCCGTCAAGTTTCACGTTTCCCTCATGATTCTGCTGCACGTCAGTGCAAATGCACAGAGGGGCCTTTCTGTGGTTGCCAAGGGCAGAATGGCTAGGTCAGTGTTTGATAAATTGTCACTTCAAAAACAAAACAACAAAAAGTGTAAAGAAAAACCTAGTCTGTGAGCCCGTGGTCTGTAATATTTACTTGTTTCCCATTTGCGTCCCCACAAACCCACATAATATTTTTAACCCTTGCGTTTTTCTATGTCTTGCATATGTTGAAACTAACAGTATTTTTCGCCTTAGGTCTTGTCAGTCACACTTATCCTACTAGTATCTACTAAAAATCTAATAAAACTGCACTTCTGTGTACTCTTAAGAAGTGTTTACATTTACAATTGGATTCTTTAGTTTTAATTTGAATGTTACAAATATATTAGCGCGCTAAGTATTAAATAATATCCTTCCTTTTATCTAAAGTTGTTTGAATAATGACCATAGTGTAGACATGCAGACTTGAATATTTGAATAGATGACAGAAAGTTAGGTTTTTATAAAATGTACAAAAATAGATATAATAAAAGTCCAGAATTAGTCATTGTGTATATATGTAAACAGTATAAACAGTATATATACAGTATCTATATATATAAGTATATATAAACTATATACATTTTAAACAGTCCTTCTAATCAGGTAACGAGTGAATATTATATCCTCATTGAATAGAATGATAATCAGACTGACTTTTTCTCCCTTTTCCACTTGTCCATTTTAAAATGACATTTAAACATATATTTTGGTTGTATCTTAGCTGTTCACTGTCAACCCCCCCAAAACTCACTGTGACCCAACCGACATCAGAATTAGTCACTGATGTTTCTGTGGGAAGGCTATCAATTAATCATGGTGACAGCGTGTGGTTAAGTGGCATCGTGACATTTAGCCTTGGAGTCTATTAAAAGCAGCTGTGAATGGTTGTGGCTCCATCATCACCACTGGTCCCTGCACCTTTTCATGAAAAGCCTTAGTCTCTTGTTGTGTCTGATATTAGGCTCCACACAAACCCACTGTGATGCAGGGAGGTAAAAATAGGCTTTTAGTGATTTTTTTCTCTCTTCTGTTATGTTTTTCTTTTTGTATTTTCAACTGTTGGTGGTTTAAAGTAAAAAACAAACTTGTCTGTACCACTTAGCTGCATGGACACATCGTCAAAGTCGTGGCTCCAGCATCAGAGTCAGTTTGGGTTGGTGGGTCAAGCGGAGGTTTGCTGTGCTGGACCTGGAGTTTTAACACCAAGTGAGTGTGTTCAGGTCCGAAATTGTCGACTCTGCTCTGTCAGCTGTGACCGCCTGTGATTTTCTTTTATCTGTCCTGGTACCATGAGCTATATCTCTGTTACGTGTTTTTTTATATGTCTGGCTTTAGTCCAGTGTTTTCGCTTGATGAAAGAAATGCTTGAATTTAAATATGTATATATATAAATATATATTTTTAGCAGTCAGTCCTTCACTAAGCATCAATCACTCTGAGCTCTGTGCTTTGTGACTCTCTCAGTCTTTTCCTCCTCTTTGTGTTTTTAACTTCCCCAAAATGAATGCCATCATTTCTGCTTCCTGCAGGGGGTTGAAGAGATTTTTTTTATACTCAATTGGGAAGCTGCCATTTCAATTTTAAAAACAAAAAAAAAGATTTATATGAGCGATGCTTGATACCAAGCCAGCCAGTCCATGTGGGCTTTAATGCGTTTACTAGATTTCATGTTCATGTTTTATTTCATTTGTGTTTTGTAGAGTTTCAGTCACCAAAACAATTAGACAATTGTTTTGTTTATTATTCAAGCAACAGTGTGGTTCATTAAGTACACGACGTGGTAGGAATTAAGTTTTCAAATATTTGTTTTTTCCAAAGTTTTTAGTTTATTGGCATTGATGGGCGATGAAACTACGATAAATTTACCCAAAATAGACATATTGGTTCTTCACTTAACAGTTTATAGTTCAAACTGTGCATTTTAAAGAATCTTTCTTTTTAGAATCTTTCTCGTCTTTATTGGTTACTGGTAAATAATTATCGGGATGCTGTTTGCAATTTTGTGTATAATTAAGCTGTTTTCTTGGTAAGCATTATATCACAATGTAATATGGCTGATGTAATGTGTTTGTGCTGACTTATAGAATTTCGTTATATTTTATGGCTAACTTTTAGCTCTTCGATAACACATTTAATTGTCTAAGACATTGTAGGTGCACAATTTTGAAATAACAAATGCAATAGTTGGCGGGTGACATGGGAGATGTTGCAAACAGAAACCTATTATTATTAACTAAGCTTTGGCTTAATATTTCTGTAGCAACACAAATGCCCCAGTATGAGACTTTTGGGCAATTTATTTTATTGAAGCAATTTTTGCTAATTTGCGATTATGGTTTGTAGCATGTAATATATTCTGTAAAAAAACAGATGAGGGGAATAATACTAATCTAATTTGCAGTAAAAATGTTTGTCGTATTAATATGTTTCAGTGCCAGAATGCAGGGAAGCTTCCAATTTTGTAATTGAGATATGCATGAATATCAGAAAATAATTTACCCACATATTACTTGTACTATTTCCCTGTGTGACGGCAATGTGTCTCCAGATGCATTTGATTGGCCAGCTGACAGCTACCATGGTATCCTTAACATTTAATTTCCAACCTTTAGTTTCATTTTTCTCTCAATTCCATCCATGGTGATAATTCCTATAAATACATAAATAAAAAAGGTAGTATGATGGAGAGCAGTGCACAAACTACAAACATGTTCCTATGGAAACTAGGCCACAGTGCACGTCGCTGGCTCACGCTCAGGAAGAAGCAGAGAGGTAGCTGGAGACAGGGATGCTGGTGAAACCGGCATGGAGAACAACTTCTCATTTTTTGTGAAGGTTTCTCCTCCTGTGTCTTTCTTCTGCTTACAGAGTATTAGAATTTTAAGAATCGCCTTCCCTTTGACCAAGGGACATTGTCAAAAGTTAATGTTAATTTTTCATATCTCTGATACTCCAAAAATATATTCTTGGTTTTAAAAACAATGACAGGTTCTTCCCTCATGCCTGATCCTGATTCCTAAACCCCTCCACCTACCTCTGTTGTAAAAACCTGCAGTTTTTTTTCTCTTCTGTGGGTTTTCCACACACTCCTTTTGCCAAATTCAGGGCACATTATTTTAAAAGTCCTTGTCCAATACTTTAAAGATCCACTCAGGAAAATCTCAGGTAATCAAAGGATAAGTATTATTGAAGTATTCATGCATATCTTTTGTACAAACCTGCTTCCAAAGTTGAGTTCATACGTATTGTTAACACTAGCCATGTTATGTTCTTGTTTTTTTTTTTAATTTACCACACATTTGAAATTGCAGGACACCAATATATAGGTGTCGAAAGTTGCACTGCTGCAGTAGATGTGTCCATGCACTCGTAAATCACTGGTCACTCCTAAAGTGTGTCAAACCTCAGGGGTGATGCTCCTGGTGTGCAAGGTTTCATTGCTGTCACTCACGGAGTGTGGTTGTTCACTGTTAATGGCTGCCCTTTGCCTTCTACAAATACTGTGTTTCAGGATTTTTGGGCCTGTAGTGGTCTAGATGTATGCAGATAAACAAGCATATTGTGAATTTTGTTTCTTCAATAAGAATTTCTCTACTGCAGATTCTTTTTTACTCCTTGTCTTTGGCAGATAATTATAGATCTTGCATGGTAAGCTTTTCTCTTGCTGAACCAATTATCATCTATTTCCAAGCTACAGTGAATGTTGAAAAATAACAGCAAAACTGTTACCGAGCAAAATATTTTTATATCTTCTTTTTATGAAAGTCAATATGACAGTTAAAATAAATATAAATGATTAAATATACATATATATACAGTATATATA